GCTTGGCGTGGCGTTGTCGCCCCGCACCTTCGGCATTTCTTCCTCGTCGCGTAGTTGTCCGTGTTGCCACACGTGCAGGACCACATGCTGCTGCCCTGCCCTGTTGCCACGTGGTGCTCTTCCATCCCGCTGCAGGCGCCATCGCTCGCACGTGCTGGCCGAGAGCCGAGCAGCAGGCTGCTCTGACTGCCGCGGATTAGCGGTATCTTTTTCTCCACAGGGGCAGCGGCCCCCCGAGGAAAACATTTTGAGCCTAAATGGCTACGGAAGAGGCCGAAGGGGGCCCCCAAGATGCCCCCAAGAGGCTCCCACGAAGCTCCAAGAGTGGCCCCAGAGGCTCCCCAGATGCCCTATTCCTCCTCCTCCTCCTCCTCCTCCTCTTCCTCCTCCTGCTCCGGGTCCTCCTGCTCCTCCTCCTCCCTCCTCATCTTCCTCCTCCTGATCTTCCCCGCCATCCTCCCCCCAACGTTCCCCGAAGGGTTTCCACAACGGTTGGGGGAACGCATGGTCCGATACATTGACAGAGCTCTTGCTACAACGCTCGGCCACATGGGCGAAAAAGGCAGGGGGCGGTGGTGATTCGCCGTAGGCGTCTTCGATAGTTTGAACAATAGAAGCAAAACTCACCAGCGGAACGAACAGACATTCAAGGATGACAACAGGCGCAGCGAACTGACCGAGCAAATCGGAACGGAACCGCTTCTGCCGGGTTCCGACCAGGTGCGAGTGGCCCCGCACCGAGGGGTCCGCCATGCAAGGCAATGGTCAACGGGGTCCATGCCAACAAGTGCGCCCGGCCTCTTGGAAGCCATCAATACTGAAGCAGTTGGAACAATTGGAATTCGAGGCCTCCTAGATGGGGTCCGAGTAGGTGGGGTCGAAGGATCGCGCTGCGTCGCCAATGCATCGCCGATGCATCGGCGATGCATCGGGAACGTGTCGGCCATGCATCGGCGACGCTGGCGTGGAGACGATCGGGCTCCACATCGTGCCGCATCGCCGACGCATCGGCGATGCGGCGCGATCCTCCGACCCCATCTACTCGGACCCCATACAGGAAGTCCAGACATGCCTACGATCGGGAACAGTCGCTGGGCGTGTCGGGCTGGGGCCCCGGCCACACTTTCTGCACTGCGAGCGGGCGGCGTGTTGCTCCGCTCCGCGGGGCGGAAGGCTGGGAAAATGCCTGGACCCCTGGTGGTGCCTTGGAATCGGGGCATGGATAGCGTGTCGCGCCGAGTTGGGCGCGAATTGATGGGGCGTCGATGAATGGGGGGGGGGGGGAGAAAAGTGCCCTTCTCGGGCCGTAAACGGCCCCTTCTGGGCCCGAAAGGGCCCCTTCAGGGGCAGTAGGGCTCCTTTCTGAGGCCCTCGCTGCCCCCGCCCAAATCTGTTGCCCCCCCCCACGACGCGTCCTCCGACCGAGGCGTGACGGGCCAGAACCGGCGGAGCGCCGCGCTAAGCAACATGTCTTGGGCGTGAAACAGAAGCGGCACCCGGGAGCCCGCAAGAAGCCCCCAGCACGTGCCAGGCTCCCCCCCCTCCAAACTGCTCGCGAGGCCTCTGGGAGAGGGCCGAAGACAAAGAGCCTCGCGCCGGCCCCACGAGACCCGAGCCACCCCAGGAGAGCTCGGCAAACCGCCCAGCACGGCCCCGAGATCCCCACCAGTCGAGGAAGACAAAACACTGCAGACCACACACCTTCCCGTCGGCGGCTCGGCAGAGGGACTGCTCCGGCGATGTGGCATTAGTGGGACACACACACGCAAAACGCGAATGGAGCCGCAGGGCGCGCGGAAGGAGAGAGGCCAGGGGCGGGCGGGAGGGGGAGGAAGCTGGGCCCGCTCAGAGCAGGGCCAGGTCGGGGCGGGGCGGGCGCAGAACACACACAGACACACAAACACACAACGCACACAACACACACACACACACACAACACATACACACAACACACACACACACAACACACACACACATACACAACACACAACACGCACACGCGCACACGCACACGCACACGCACACAACACACACACATACACGCACACACACACACACGCACACACCGCACACAACACACACACACAACACACAACATACACACACGCAACCGCACTCACACACAACACATACACACACGCACACAAACACACACACGCATACACAACACACACAACGCACAACACACAACACACACACAGACACACGCAGACGCACACACACAAAACACACACACACCAAGCGCTGACGGCGTGCTTGGTTAGTGGTGCGATTGGGAATCTGGTTTTTGTGACACCGATATCACGCAACACAAACAGTAGGATATCACGAAAAAACGTTTCCTATATGTCAAATATGCGAATGTCTCGAACGAAAACGACACCGCGAGTTGTAGGACATCACGAACCACGCGTTCGAACCACGCCTTCCTACAATCGGTTGTCCTGCTTTGCCGTTAGCTAACACACCGTTAGAGCGTCTAAGGACACACACGCACAACACACACACAACACACACACACACACCACACACACAACACACACAACACACACACGCACGCACACACACACACACACGCACACACACAACACGCACACAACACGCACAATCCACAACAAACACAACACACACAAGCACAATCACACACACAACACACACGCACATGCACAACACACAACACACAATTCACAACACCAACACCACACACGCAACGCACACACACACACACACACGCACGCACACACAAACTGACACGCACACACACAACACGCACACAACACGCACGCACGAAAACACGGAATGCACGCACACACACACACACACACACGCACACACACACACACGCACACGCACACTCAACACACACACGCGAACGCATACACACGCACATACACTACACACAACACGCAAACACAACACACACACACACACGCACACGCACACACAACACACACACACACACGACACACACACAGCACACACAACACACGCACACAACACACACACATCACACACATCACACACAACACACAACACACGCACACACGCACGCACGCACACACACACACACAACACGCACACACACACACAACACACACACACGCACACACCACACACACACACACGCCCACATACAACACACAACACACAACACACACAAAGCACACACACAACACACACACACACCCACGCGTCCGAACCACACCTTCCTACACTCGGTTGTACAACTTGGCCGATAGCTAAAACACCGTTAGAGCGTCGAAGGACACACACAACAAACAAAATAAACACACACACACATCACACACAACACACAACACACACACGCGCACAACACACACACGCACACACAACCAACAAACAACACACACACAACACACATCACACAACACATTCACACACACACACGCACGCACGCACACACACACACACACGCGCACACACAACACACACACACAACACGCACGCACAACACACACACGACACACACACACAACACACAGCACACACACAGGCACACGTACACGCACACACGCACACACGCACACGAACAACACACATAGTACAGTCAACACACAGAACACACAACACAACACACAACACACACACACACATGCACACACACACACACACGCACGCACACACACACACACACATACATGCACGCTTTCGGAGCTCCGCGGGGATTCCTTGGATCGGCGCTGGGCCCCCCTCCCTGGCGCGCCGAGAGCCCCATGGGCGGCGCCGGAGGGGCCTCCAGGGGGGCCAGCCACCGACCCGAGAAATCCGCGCGGGGCTCTGAAAATGTCTGCTCATGGAGTTTTTTGTTTCCGTGTTCGAAGCGCGTCCGCGAGACCCTCATCGGGTCCCCAGAGGGCCCTCTCAAAAGTCAGAGATCCGCGCGGAGCTCCGGGTCAATGTTTCTGCAGTTTCTCAGGTCTCGAAACACGGCCGCGGGATCCTCATCAGGTCCCCAAGCGGCCCTCCCAAATCGGGGGCGTCCAAGAGGGAGCGTCCAAGAGGGAGCGTCCAAGAGGGAGGGGTGCAAATCATGGCCCGAGGCATGTGCGCGGACCAGGGGGGGGCCAGGGAACGTTTTGAAGTAAGAAGAGGGGCCATGCAATCTGGGGAGATATCATGGCCCCCGCCATAATATCCACCCCCCCTAAGCATCCCCCCCCTCTTGGCCGTCCCCGACAAAAGGCCCCCCAGGCCCCCCACCCAGAGAAGACCCGAATGGGCCCCAGAGAGGCAGCGCGACAACCAGGCAGCAGTACAACCAAGCAGCCACGCTGCAACGCTTGATCGCGGCGCTTCCCAGACGGCCCACGCCGATTCTACAGTAGGAACTCGACCACAAGAAACCTTCGACGCGAAACCCAAATCTGGAACCCCAGGACGTCCGTTGATTTTGGGTGGGGGAACGTCACGCTTTCCATGGCAAAACCATCAAAACCTTAGAATCCCAAGGCAGCCTGGAGGCAAGCAGGATGTGTCTTGGCATGGGTTCCAACTGTACCCCGGACGGGGTCGGGAGAGTTGGTAGGACCATCGCACGCTCGAGTGCGGTGAAGAGGGAGTCCAGGGCCGAAAGGCCTCACCGTCTGACGTCATCCTTCTTCTCGGGGTCGGCGGAATGACATACGCCTCTTGAACAAATAACAATAACGATGAGAACAATAATCATAGGCAGAAGAAGGACCATGAATTCTGGTATATGACATGGCCCTGGCCATGGCATCCACACCACGCCACCTTTTGTCCTCAACCTCCTTCCAGGACGCCCCCGATCGTCGACGCGTGCACCTCCAAGCTGCGCCAGCACGGCAGCTGTGGCTGCCCGAGGAGGCTGGACTATGAGTGGTGCGGCCGCTGCGCATGTTCATCAATACCGCCTCTCCTGGCAGTTACCATCACTGTGCAGTTCCCTCTGTCCTCTCCTCCTGCTCCTCCTGGCCCTCATCCTCTAGCTCCTAGTCCTCCTTACCATGGCCCCCGGCCTGGGCCATCGCCCTCTTGTAATACTTCTTCGGGATGGCCAGCGCCTCCAAGTCCTCGCGGACTGCCCATCTAAAAGGGGCCCAGGGACACAAACAAATACACACAAATAACAGGATCCCCCATATTGTTGCATATTTGTTTGACGTTCGTCTCACCCCCACTTCCCATATTTTCCAATTTTTTCATGGGGATCGACGATTCTTTGTCTGTGTGTTTTTCCCCTCCTGACCATTGCAATGACAGGGCGCACGCCGCGGGCAGCGGGTGCCAAACCAGCGCGTCGCACGAAGCCACTTTGAAAGACCCAGTGCCGTTCCCGAGTGCCCCTTTCCCATCCTCGGAGAGCATCTCGACAGGGGTCCAAAGGATTTGGACGCCCGAAATGGGTACGGAAAGAATGGGCACTATGCCCAACAACCAAGGTTGTCCCAAACCAACAGCGGCCGCTGTTGGGCGGGCGGCCTCCTGTCTCGAATGGACACAAGCCGCGGCGGCGTGGACAGCGGATCTTGTTCAAAATGAACAAGATCCGCTGTTGGGCATAGTACCCATTCTTTCAGTACCCATTTCGGGCGTCCAGAAAGGAGCAAGGTCGCATCCCCCGAGGGTGCGGGCGAGACCTTCAGGATAGCGTGTCGCGGCGGCGACCCAGGATGCACGCGATGCCCTGCGATCGGATAGCGTGCCGCTCCGCCCCGCGGGGCGGGGATCTCGGGCAGGCTCGGGGCGTTGACGCCTCGGGACCGCGATGTGGATAGCGTGTCGCGCCGAGGCGCGATAGGCCAAAACCGGCGGCGCGACACGCGATCCAAAGCTTCCCGACTGTACTCGGAGGGGGTACAGTCGGGGGGGAGGAGGGTGAGGCTAGGGGGTGAGGATTAGGGGGGTGTGGCCTAGGGGGGGTATGGGGGATGGGGGATGGGGGGAGGCTCCCCCTCCTCCCTTGGCGGAGCGCACTGGGGGGTATGGGGGATGGGGGGAAGCGTGTTGAAAGAAGCCTGCTTCTCAGAAGGCGCCAGCCTTACGTCTATGATTGAGGCCCGCACGCGCCTTCTAAGAAGCAGGGGTGCTTCTACTAAAACGACTGCACCCCTCCCCCAAACTCCCCTCCGCGCGTGGCCGACTCCTTGTGGAGATCACATCGACAAGGGTCCGGAGGACATAGGTAGATCCCCCCGAGGGCATGCAACACAAAACAAATGGGCACCACGTGCCACGAAATATCCGCGCCCAGACAGCCCGCTGGCCCATGGGGACAGATCACGTGGCCATGCCCAAGGCCTGGCCTCGGAGGCCTGTGGCGGGCAGTCGGATGGCTCTCACCCACCGCCCCCTTCTACTACAGGCCCTCGGACCGGAACTCGCACGAGTGGTACCTGCAGAGCGCGGCCTGACAAGCCGAAAATGCTGCGCCAAACGCGGTTGCCTGCCCTGTTTTATCTGATGGGTTCAAGTGCTGCGGGCCGTAGATTACTTTGGAATTGTTTCGCAGAGGGGCAATGCTGTGAACAATAATTCATAACACACTACTATGCCGAAAACCGATATGTGCATCATGGGATGCATGCCGGGCTCGACTGTATCGCGGGGCGCCCTGTTGCGCATGCACCTTCCCCCACCACGCCCGCGGCTGTCGACGTGGCCCGTCATGGGGGGAAAAGGGCAGGGCGCCCAATACAAGGGGGGACTCGCCGAGGGTAGGTGTGTGCAACAAGCCTAACATAATCACTCAAGGCCCGGATTGCGGAATCGGAAACTCCAACCGACTGCGAAAGCACTGTCTGCAGGCTACCTAGCGGAGCTAGTACTGCATCAGTTGCGTGAAATATTGCTGGGGCAGCGCCGTCGACGAAACATACAACGTGGCCTGTCGACAGTCTGAAGAGTTCGTCTGTGACTGGAGCAGCGCACGAAGACACCAAGATGCTTCGCGAGCGAACTCTTGAACGGCTCGGTACATGGTCAACTTGGGACGCCGATGATCTTGAAGCCGTTTCCGTGCAGACTGCACTTGTTTAGAATGTGCACGCTCTCCTTGGACGGCTGAACATGCACCTGGTCGGCAGCGCCCCATTTGTGGCGCGTGGTCTGGCAATTGTGGCACGTAGCGAAGATCGTCGATTCTGTTATCGAGAACAAAAACGCAGTAAGTAACACTGGCCGACGCCACAGCAAGGTCAGCCTCGCAATATGACAAATTCCAAAACGGCGGACCCAAACCCGTACCCTAGAACACCCCGTCAAGAAGCATGGAGGGCTGCGAAAGAAGCCCGTCCAGGCTTACATTCGCCTGTCTCCCCGAAAGCCACGACCGAATAATCTTCAAAAGAAGTTCGCCCCCCAAAAAAGCACGCAACTTGGCCACAGCGCGGTCGGAGTTGACCCTGTCAAAGGCTCCAGCCACGTCGGGACCATGCGCCCCCGTGCGCCAGCTCTGCAGATCGCCCGGATCCAGCAACACACGAAGTAAGCCAACGCGTCTCTGTAGCCCCGATTCGCGTGACAAACGAACTGGCGGCTTCCATGTGTCCTCCTAGACACGACGGAAGGGAGCAGCACGCTAGCAATTGAACGTTCGACTACCTTGCTGAGATGAGATGTGACATGAACTCTGCGGAAATGGAAGGCATTCGAGCGCACCTTCGTCTTGAACAGCGGGATCAGCAAGTGAAAATTCCACCATGCGGGCCACTCGCCGTCACGCGGAAACAAACGCGCAAACTAACGCAAATGGCGATCGGAACCGCCAGCGGCGAGGCGCATTTCAGAATCCGGCGTGATAATCCAATGCCGCTGTCTTCCCGCAGCCTGCGCAAGATGCGCAAACTCGAGCGGTATCATTCGACATGCCGCCGGTCATCGAGGAGGTTCTCGGCAACTGTGCGGATGATAGCGCCTTGTCGACCTCAAGCGGCAGCCCAAGCTTCTCACAGAAAGCATATGCGAGTCAATCGGCCTGCGCACGAGCAGACGCAGCCCGCGATCCACTCTTCGACTGCATCGAAGGCATGCCGACTGGCCCCGTGCCGGCACGAAGAAACAAATATTCACTTCACACCCATCATTCTTTGGGCGATTGCGACATGTCAAGCATGCGCTGCCGAGTTCGCAGAACGTACTGATAACAATGACGGCGGAGGCCCGCAGAGCACTCGCCAGGCCGAAATTCGAAGTGCGGGGTCCTGCGTGCTTCCACTTTTCTCCTGATCAGCTCCCCGAGCGCTTCGTTTATCCACGGGTGGGTGGATTTCCAGGCGATGCCGCTAAAAGTGGGAACGAGCATCTTCGCCCTGTCCATGATGGTGCTCGTCAGTTTGGCTGCAGCTGCCGACGGAGAGCAGAATGAGAAGAACAACGTCCGGTCCGCATTCTGCAGATCGGCACAAAACTGGGGCCATTCCACATGTTGAAGCAAAGGCTACTCGCGTGCGGTCGGGGCTGAACGCTGCGCGCGCATGGCCGTAGACGCGCGTGCCACGTGATGATCGTGTTCGATCATGGGCGGGGGAAGTTTGCACGTCAGGCCGGAAGACAAATCCGTCAAGACAAGATCCAACAAGTTGCTGCACCCCGTCGACTTCCCAACATTTTTCTGTGGGCCCCTGCGGTTGCAGGTGTCGAGCAGGACCCTGCAGTCCTTGGAAATACCTTGTGAGCAAACGCAACCGCTGACTGTGATGAACGCTCATCTCACCCAGGACATGGCGCCCACGACCTGCTGATGTTACTCGCGCCACTCCGTCCATAGCGCGTGAATGGCGTCGACCTCTCCCTGCCCAGGAGACCGGCGCCACAGAGCCAACAAACGTGGGCCCAGGCTCGTGTGGACGATGTGCCAAGACCGCTCGGCGTTGGGAGAATCGCCAGGGTGGGCGATGCAGCTCTTGAAAAAACTACTTGCGAACAGCATGATGCCCTCACCGTGTCTGCCGTCGCGGCGGTCGAAGCGTGAAACAACAGTGTAGCCATGCAGCGCAATCTCCGTAACGGACCTGTCTAACCAACTCTCCGCGCTTGCCACACCACCGGAACAGTGCAACAGTTCGAGCCGACCCTGAAGTTCACAGGCGTGAAGGAAAACGGCACCAATTCACAAACAACGTGAAACAGTGCAGCTCTGGATCGGGCGAATCTGGCCCGGATATCGGTGAGCCGTCGCCAGGAGGGCGCTGACGATCCGAATTCTGGTGGCGACGAATGTGGCGTGCAAGAACAAACCGAAGACTTCGACGTCGTTTGCGTCGGGGTGTCAGCTGTTGGGGCCGTTAATCTGCCAGAAGCTGGCGGGCGTGCCAAAAAACGTTAACATGGTGCATGTGTGGACGGGTACAATGAAAATGAGCGGCCTCGGGATCTTCCTATGGGATGACAAGCCGGCGTACGGCGGCAAGAACACCCCCTTGACGTCACTCTCCTCCTGCTTGAATGCGGTGGTGCCGTTGACCGTCACTAGCCGCTCCCGGGAACCGTCGACTTCCCACTCAATCCTGACCTCTCAGCCAGCGGTCAGAATGGAGGCCTTGATCAGCTCCTCGGCTTTCCGCATGGCGTAGTTCCGCTTGCATTGCAAGTCCGTGCGGGCTGATTTGATCGTGAGTCTCTTGCTATCCACGTTGAGCTCGATGCTGAACAATAGGAGCGCGTTGGAGAGGAAAACCTTGGCGACCTGGACGCTGGAGAATTCGACCCCAGAGTCCGGGGAACCCTACGATTCGTGTGCGAGCCCCTGTGCTCATTGCCACAATTTGTGAGCCAGATCGTCTTGAAGTGATCCTTGATGAAAGCCTCCATCCACGCGATGCGCGCGTCGCAATCGACGTCGCCCGGCTAACCTAAGAAAACGACACGACGGCGAGCAAGGTCCATCCGGCTGTCGCTGTTCTGCAACTCCTTGATGGTGCGTGCGTCGGCGCCTGATAAGAGGCATTGAGATTCTAACACAGAAACTCTGGAGCCAAATTCGCCACAGAACTGGTTCAGGGGGTCCACGGCTGCTGCTGCGGTAACGTTGACCTCCTTCCTTACTTCTTTCTGCACTCGTCAAAAACCGACTTCAGAGCCATATTGTCCATCACTCTCCGAAAGTGCGTGAATGGCCTCAAGAACCTCCAATTTCGCAGACTGCGCGGGGCTTCGGCGGTGGACAAACCTCCCTTTAGTAGACCTCCCCTAAGTGAAAACGGCCTGGGACCGAAACCGACGGACCTGGATCCGCAAAAATGACGGCCGCGACGCCCTCTCGCGAACCGAAAACGGCCAATTCCTTAATCGACGTGTTAGGGTAGGAGGTCTGTCCACCCCCGAGGGCTATCCTGAGACCCAGACCCCGGTGTCCTAGGTACCAACGGCTCCTTCGAGCGCTGGATCCTCTCGAGCGCCTCCTTCGCCGGACATGCCGAAGGCCCTCGTTCCACGCTCGGCGCGGAGGCACCGCTCGAGGGTTCGCCTGAACGTTCGAGGCAGCTATGGCTGGCGCTGCGGGAGTGGGGGGGTGTGGGAACGGAGAGGTACAGGGCAGTTTTTAAGACATAGGGTAAAAAAAACATTGGATTTTTAATACATGATTAGTTTATGAATAGATTTATGCATGAACCCCTCGTTGTTTTTAATACTAAATCCCTGCATATTTAATACATGATCCGCACGCAAAACATGTTTTTTGTTTTAACGGCACTGTATGGAGGGGCCCTGGGACACACAAACAAATACGCACAGATAACGGGACCCCCACTTCCCATATGTTCCCATATTTCCGGGGGAATCGACGATTACTTGTGTCTGTGTGCCTTTCCCCCCTGAAAGCAGGAGTGGTTGAATGTCGCTGGAGGCGCGCGCCGCCGACCCTCGGAGGCCGATCGGCCTGCTCCTCAAGCCTTGAGCCAACATGGCCACGGAGAGGAGCGACCAAGCGGCAGAGGCGAGGAAGAGAGAGAGAGAGGAGGCGAGGAAGAGGCGAGGAAGAGGCGAGGAAGAGGCGAAGAAGCACGCGGACGGAGGGGGAGAGAGAGAGGAGGAGGGAAAGGGGGGGAGAGGGGATGCCCACCCCGACCCCTCCATCTCCCCGCTCATTCCTCCCGCTCCCAAACCCCCGACGTCATGATTTGGTCATCACGTCGACTCCCAGAGATCCGGACCCCTTCCCCCGGACCCGTGTTTCATCGTGAGTCATTCTCTGAGGGCCCCGAGGCCCGGTGAGGGCCCCCTGAGGCCACAAAAGAAGAAAACCCGCCCGTCCTGTTTTGAGCGAAGGATTGCAAAGGATTGCAAAAAAAACCTTCGAAGGATTGCAAAAAAAACCTCGTCTGAACGAAGGATTGCAACAAAAAACTCCCCCTCCTCCTCCTCCTCCCCCTCCAGCTGCCATCCTCGCGCCTCCGCCCGCCTCCTCCCCCCCCTATCTCTCACCCCATCACCCTGGTCTTCCTCCAGCCCACTCTCGCCCCCGATCCGATCACCCCTCACCCTTACATTCGCAGTCAGCCCACTCTCTCCCCCGATCCGACGGCTCTCCCTCGCCCTCCCTCGCGCTCCCTCGTCGCACAACCCCCTTCCCGCCCGTCACCCTCGATGTCAGCTGCCCCCTCCTCTCCCGCACTCTTCGCCCCAGCCGCCCGCCCGGTTTCCGTCACTCCAACCCCAGCCAGCGCCTCTCGGCAGATGCCCCGAGAGCATGATCAGACATCTGATTTGCGGCGGGCGAAGGGGGGGAAGTGAGAAGGAGAAGTCCTTCTTAGAAGTTGGCGGGACTTCGCAGAAGCTCTGGCGCCTTCTGAGAAATCTTCAGTGCCTTCGCGGTAGGCTCAAAAACTTCTCAGAAGGCCAGGGGACTTCCGAGCCTTCTGAGAGGGCTTGCCCCTTCTCACTTCCCCCCGGGCTCGCGGCCGATCTGATGATGAAACGCACGATGACATGGAGGGCCAATCGTTCAACGTCGACCGATTCTGGATCGCTGGCGGCGTTCAACGTTGGACGCCGGCGGCAGCGTCGCCGCGGGTCGACACGGCGCAAACCTGCCGTACCTGACGCTACTTCGGCGACGCGCCCGATACGACTGGCTCGACGAACCATCAAACCAATCGGGCTTGGTCCGTCCGCGTGCGCACTTGCATCAACCACAACTGTGCGGCGGCCTTCTTTCACCGTTGCATTGCACACCTCGCCATCGCTCGGACTTCCATTCCCCGTGTATGATCTGGTTTCGTGTGTTGACTGTTGCTCGATGCTCTAGGATGCTCCTCGGTGGTCTTCGCCGCGAAAAGATGCACACGACCGAGCGATGCCAAGACAAGGCTAGGAGCAGGGGAAGGCGTACAAGACTCGGCTCTTGTGAAGACCCTTCCGAGCCTCCTCGCACTTGATGGTGGCGTTCCGCGAGTCGTCGTTGTCGAGCGCGGTCTCCCCGAAGAGCATTCCAGGACCAAGGACATTCTCGCACTTGCCGAATACCTCGGCCGCACCCGAACACCGCGATACAAACGAGTGGCGGGGAACGTAACATGCGGGTGGTATTTGGATTGTTTTCGCACGCCGCCTGGAATCATCCGCGCATACCCCAAGGCCGCGGCGATGACAAGAAGAGGCACGACTGGTAGGATCAATCAACATCGAATCGGGAGATCGGATCGGATCGGAACTTCCGTCGGATCGGGCCGCATCGGCAAGGAGCTGGAATCGAATCGGATCGGCCGCGCCAGGATGCACAACAGCGCCGTGCAAACAACCATCGGGTCCCATAAGGACTTCGGAATCACCTCGGACGGAACTGGCTGAAGCCGATACCGCATCCGATCTATCGGATCGATCGGGGCCGATCGAGGACGAGGGACCGACGCGACAGGCGTAGAGACCTGAATAACCACCCCCGTGACAAGCATCCCGACGAGCGAAGCCGGTCGGGTAACGCACCCCAGGGATGAATCAGACAGGGCAAGGCTGTCTAGCAAACGCCGAGGGCCGTTGGGTGAACGCCAATGAACTCGGAGGCGCGCAAACATGGATTAGCGATCCATGGATTTGGCGTGCGGTCGCCGAATCCATGGATCGGGGGAGGTGCCCTCCCCAACATGCGGCCGGTGCCGCCTCGCTCAGCGGCGGAAATCCGCGATTTCCCATGGCAACGGGACCCGTCGCTAATCCACGCCCCCTTAATCCATGTTTCAAGTCGTCCGCGGAGAGGCCTTGCATACTATCGACGACCCCGCCGCCCCTTCGCCCTTATCCGCAAATTGCGGGCTGCCGCGTCTTCCGCCACGCAGCTTGCACCACATAGCGATTACCGCATGGCCTGCGCATCCACACTGCAAGGACTTCCCGTTTGGGGTCCACGCTGGCACATCTTGTCGGGCCGAGCGCCCAGCCCTCTGCGGGAGAGCGTGCGGTCGGGAACGTCTGCTTCGCGTGCCGCCGCAGAGGCCGCGGCGCAACGCTGCGCCGTGCAAGCGGACGCCGTGCTGCGCCGCTCCGAGGGGGTCTGGGGACGATGTTTGGGAGGGTTCTCCCACGGGGGGAGGTCTGAAATGGCTTGTCTTGGAGGGTCCAGACCCCCTCCCTTTTATTACGAGATCTGGAGTACCCCTGATGATTCGGGGCTCTGATGGCCCGTGGTGCGCGGCTCGGGGAGTTTGGACGCCCGGAGTGGGTACGGAAAAAATGAGCACAATGCCCAACAACAAATGTTGTCCCAAACCAGCAGCGGCCGCTGTTGGGCCGGCGGCCTTCTGTCTCGAATGGACACAGGCCGCGGCGGCGCGGACAGCGAATCCTGTTCAAAATGAACAAGAACTGCTGTTGAGCACTGTACCCATTCTTTCCGTGCCCATCTCGTTCGTGCAGATGGGAGGCGGGGGGCTGGGAGGCTGGGAGAGGCTCTGGGAGAGGCGGGAGGCTGGGAGATGCAGAGGGGCGGGAGGCTGGGAGGCTGGGAGGCTGGGAGGCTGGGAGATGCAGAGGGGCGGGAGGCTGGGAGAGGCTCTGGACGTTGGCGCCACCGGGGCCGGGAGGTGGTCGACGTGTCGCGCCGAAGGAGTGGCGGGTCAGGACTGGCGGCGCGGCCCGCTCTCCAGCAGCTCCCCGCCCCTCTGGGGCAGGTGCGGGGGGAAATTAGAGGCCTCCTAGATGGGGTCGGAGTAGATGGGGTCGGAGGACCGCGCCGCATCGTCGATGTATCGGCGACGTATCGGCGATGCACCGGCGACGCATCGTCAACGTCGGCGATGCATCGGCGACGTCGACGTGAAGCAAATCGGCCTGCACATCGAGCCACATCGTCGATGCATCGGCGATGCGGCGCAATCCTCCGACCCCATCTACAGCGACCCCATCTAGGAGGCCTAGAGAAATGGCGACCCCAGCCCTCGGGCGGCGATCATTGGGGGTGCGGTAGTTGGGGGGGGGGGGGGGGCAGCGAGGGCTGCAGAAAAGGGGCTCCTAAAGGAACCCTTTGGGGCCCCAAAGGGGGCCTTCAGGGTCCGAAAAGGTCACCGCTCTCCCCCCTTTTGTCGCCCCCGATGCATTCGCGTCCCGAGCCCGCCCGGAGAGACCGCTGTTAGGAAAAAAGGGGAGGGGCCGCCAACTCATGCTGACGGCGACAACTCGCCAGGCCGGCGATAGAGCGCCCCGATCTCCAACACCTCAACGCCCGATCCGAACATCTCAACGCCCGATGTTGGATATCCAACGCCCGATCTCCAACATCTCAATTTCTGGAGGATGTCTTGAACTCCTCCAACATCCCTATGCTGTGTCTGGCGAAACGCCCCCCCTCCACACCCCAATCCACCCCACATCCCACACCACACCATGTTGGATATCCTACGCCTAATTTGATGCATCAAGCGCATACTTCATTACTGAAAATCAACGTCGTAAATCACCTCCTCCAACATCACAATTTTGAGAATGCTTCAGGCGCAGCGCTCCCATCACATCATGTTTCTCTGGCAGCCCCAAATTGCGCCCCCCTGCAACGACGGTGCCACCAACTTGCACCAAGCAATCCAGGAGCCACACGAAGACCAACCTGCAACAGACGAGCCCGCGCGCAACACCTTGGCTTGTGCAGTGAAGCGCTGACAAACTCAGGGGGAAATACGAAGAGGAGGAAGACAAACAAAGGCGAGTGGGCAGCGTGGTTGCCGACATCGGCGCTCCCCTCACAGAATGTTGGATGCTATGCGGCGTACCCGTGCACACGTCGCTTGCCCCGCGCGCACATCCCCGCCCGCGCACGATTCCCTGCTAGGAATCCCGCGCACGATTCGCTGCTAGGAATCATCCGGCGCCTCTAGGTTGGATACCCTTTTGGGGGCCCACTTGTCGCCAGGAGCACGCGAGAACACATGTCAGAAGCACGCGCGACGCGACGCACGTTGGACACCCCCTTTCCGCACTAGTATCTTTACGTCCCCAATTCCAACGCTTCCTGCTCGACACCTTTCCGGTACGCGGCCAAAGGCCCGTTGACTAAAGGAGAACTCTGGACCTACAGTCGGGCTGCTGAAAGAAGGAACGCTAAATGAGGAACGAAGCCCCTTCTTGGCCCTGCAAGCGCCTCCGTGCCCCAGGAGGGCAAGAAGAACAGCACCGGAGGAACCTCAAGAATATCGAGCCCCTTCCTAACCCAAACTGTTCCTCATTTCAGCGTCTTGACTGTACGCCTTCGCTGGAACAAAACCGGTGACAAATCGGACGCTTCGATTTTGTTAGAGGCGCGGAGTCTCTAGGCCCTCCGTCCTCCCTCTCCCCCTCCCCCCGCCGCCGCCGCCATGCGCGCCGAGTGCCGTGGGCGACAGAGGGGCCTCAGTGTGAAGTCGGGCCTGCCCCCCTACAGGGGGATTTTGGAGGAAAAATAAAACATAGTCAACCAAATATTCCAAACTCGTCAAAAAAATACAAAAACTAGTCCCCAGACTATGTTTTACTAGGATGTTCCTCCTGTAGAGGGACAGGCCCGACTTAACCTGAGTGGGAACCTACCCTGGGGCTCCGGGCGGGGCGGACCCCCAATGTCGACGGCGGCCTGACTCCGTGGGGCGCGGGCTGGCCTTCCGTCCTCCTCGGGGCGCTGCAGCCCCTGGGAGAGCCCCCCCCCCCCAGCGGGCCACCACAAGGCGAGAGCACCGGGGCTCAGAGACTGCCGCCGCCGCCTCCCCCCCCCCTTCCCCCCTTGGGCCCGGCGAGCTGGGCGCCGCCGCCGCCGCCGAGCCGGCCACACCTCGGGGACCGCTGAGGGCTCCCGCGGAGTGCTTGTTGAAGCTGCTGAACCCCTCGGCAGTCTGCGGGCGAGGCCGCTTTTTTGTCCTGCCCCGTCGCTCCTTTGAAGGGGAAGGGGGGAGACTGTATGTTAGCCATCGTGGACCCTAGGCAGCAAGTTTGCACTGTGGTTGCGCCAGGTATGTGGTGCAAGCTTTGTGGCGTAAGCTGTGCGGTGCGGTGGACGTGGTGCAAGCTAGAGGCGGCCACGGGCGGCAACTTGGCGAAACCACGCCGGCAACATCCAACGCAACGCGCGAAGTGGCCACGAGGCGGCCACGGGCGGCAACGTTGCGACACATCGCCGGACCCGTCGACATCCTTCGCAAAACAAGTAAGAACCCCTAAGTGCAAACACTGCCTGGTGAGAGCCTAAGAACAGGAAGGTGAAGGAGAAGGAGAAGGAGCAGGAGGAGGAGGAGGAGGAGGAGGAGGAGGAGGAGGAGGAGGAGGAGGAGAGGAGGAGGGAGAGGGGGGCGGGAGGCGACGAAATGGCCGTCCTTGAACCGGTCCTTCATGTCGAGCCCCTTGGCGTTGCGCGGCGTGGGCCCCGCCCGCCGCCGCCGCCGCCCCGCCCTCGTGGGCGACATGGGGGACCTCGGCGAGGAGCACACGGAGCCGTCGTCGTTGTCGGGCCTCGGCGCCCCAGGGGGGGGGGGGGAGGGGGGGGGGGGGGGGGGCAGGAGGACGGAGGGGGGAAGGAGAGGGAGGAGGGGGGGCGCTCCGCATGGTCGGCATGCGAAGACATGGGCCAGAAGGCCTGGGCGGGGTGCAGGGCGGCGTGGGGGGGGGGGGGAGAACGGAGCACCCTACCTCGCTTGGTTCTGCCTCTGACCTCCTGTTGCAAGTCCTCTGTTTCACTTTGTGGGGCATCGGGCTTTCCTGACCCTACAGATTTAACTGCGAAGGTGGGGGGATGGGGGATGGATCGTTTCGCTACGCAGGAGGCTAGGACTGGAGGGGAAGTGAGCGATGGGTGGGCCAGTTCGGAAGCACGGGGGATAAAGGAGAAGGAGGAAGGGGATGCGGAGGCGGAGGACGGAAGGAGGAGTTCCAGGATTTCCACCATCGCGTAGTAAGCAAAAAATGGATGCACTTAGGGAGCAGGTCGCGATCAGTCCCCTGACCGCCAATGCGTAGTTGAACTATCCCCCCTCCCCCCTCCTCCAGCTCTTCCCCATACGTCTTCACCTCCTCCTCCCATTTTCATCCTGTATTTTGGTCAATCGATTTTTCACATCAGGAAGCGCACAACAAGACGCACCCTCAACATCAAGCGCTGTACCTCACTACAGCGAAGCTGAGCCACAACGTGAGATGGGTGGAAGTACGGCCGCCGCCGGATTGCATTGTAAAAGGGTCCTGGCGAAGCCTCACAACCGTGCCGTGAAACGACGACGCGGCAGGAGCACAAATGTGAGACAAGCCGCGTGAAGCTAGGCCTGAGACCAAGACAGCATTGGACAATCAAGAGGTCTGGAGGGCGGGCGGAAGAGAGAAGATCATGGGCGAGGGCACATATCGAGCGTGCGGAGGCAACCAGAAGACGGCACGCGCACCAGGCCCTGCAGGAACGAGGCGGAGGAGAGAGAGAGAGAGGGGACAGAGCAACGGACCTCCTCCTCCTCCTCCTCCTCCTCCTCCTCCTCCTCCTCCTCGTCCTCGGGGTCGATCGCCGGCGGCCAGGCAGGAGGCTGGCAGCTGCATGGAGCGGGCGGCAGCGCCTCCACGCCGTGGAAACAAAGATAGCAGATCATAAAGGGAGAGATGGAGAGACAGAGACACAGGCAGAGAGGGAGAGAGAGACAGACAGATAGACAGGGAGGGACACAGACAGAGACCGAGACACAGACAGAGAGAGAGAGAGAGACAGACAGACAGAGAGAGGCAGATTATAAAGGGAGAGGTGGAGAGACAGAGACACAGACAGAGAGACAGAGAGAGAGAGAGAGAGAACGGGCAATGTGATGGATCAAGGCGCTTCTGAGCTCGGGCCTTCATGATGCAGCTAAGGGGCGCGGCACTGGATTCATTGCACGACGCACTGTTGGATGTCAGCGTGATGCGTCTGAGCGTCATGCTTCTGGAGCCCATCGCCATTCTCAACGAAAGGCTGCTCACGGACGTGCTGGCAGCGCCCGCTGTGCTGATCAATGGCTGCGCTGCTCATCCTGCTGCTGGCGTCGATGCTGTTGGCGCTGGAGTTGGAGTCGGAGCTGGCGTCGGCGGCGGCGGCGATGCTGCTCGCGCCAGTGCTGGAGTCGAAACCAGCGTGGATATTACTGGCGACGGTGTCGGAATCGGTGCTGGCGTCGATGTAGATGAGTCGGTGCCTGAATAGATGTCAGCGCCAATGCTGCTGGCCGACGTCAGTGCTGGGGTCGGTGCTGGAGTCGATGCTGCTGACGCCGATGCCAGGATCGGTGCTGGCCTCGATGCTGTTGGAAACGGAGCCGACGTCGGTGCCAGAGTCGGTGCTGGCCCCGAGGCAGATGACGTCGGTGCCAGGGTCGAACCCGCAGTCGATGTTGCTGGCGTTGGAGCCCGAATCGACGCTGGCGTCGATGCTGCTGGAGTCGGTGCCAAATTCGGTGCCGGCGTCGGTGCCGCTGGCGTCGGTGCTGGAGTCGGTGCTGGCGTCGATGCTGTCGAAGATCGCATGAAAAGGGCAGAAATTGTCCACCTCGGTTTGGTGGGAGTCGTCATAAGTCACGGTGGCACTGGTGGACGCTGGAGCGCTCTTGCTCGTGGTGGTCGTGGAGATGGTGGGGGGAATCGTGGACAACAACGTGGTTGTGGTCAACGTCGTCGTGGCGGTGACGACAAGGGCAGGAGATGCGCGATGAATTGCACGGCTGCGACCGTGGGCGACGAGTCGACGGGGGAAGAGATAAGGGCGAGCGGGCATTCGCAAATGGGGAGGGAAGTAGTCGTGGTAGCTGACAATGTGGAGGCGGCGGTAGACGCCGTATTCTTGGGTGTGCTCGCCCTCGTGGTCGTGGTCGTGCTGCTCGTGCTGTTTGTGCTGGTTCTCCGCGTAGTAGTACAGGGCAGCGTCGTGCTGTTCACTTTCATGCTCGCCGTCGTCATCGGGCTGCTCACGAAACGGCGGTCGGAGCTTGCGCCCGATCTGGCGCTGACCACAACCGGTCCCCAAGTCGATCCCTGTATTTCTGCTCCTTCGTGCTTCCTAAGAGATCATTGCTCCATGTCGCACCCCAAGGCGTGTGGGTACGGCGGGCTGGGCCTTTTCGCATGGCACTTACTCACCATGGTTGGGACTGAAACATGAGGTTTCCAATCGCTATACGGATGATGAAAATGGGACCGTTTTCAAAAAGCAGCTCTCGCCATGGCGTCGCGCGCATGCGTTCGTCATAACAGTTAGCATCATACACACTAATGGTGGAGGAATCAGACTTCAAAGTGTGGCTCTTGCATGAGAGCTTGGCATTTTCGCCTCAAAAGTTCGCAACAGCTACACGGATGAAGGGGGGTAGTTTTCAAAGTGTTGCGGATGTCTCAGCGCTGGATGATGTACGTATGGTGTTCCAACTGGGGCTCTCGCCTCAATGTCGCGCGCATTCGATATAACAACTTGCACCCGTTACAAGGCTGGTGGACGGTTCCTCTTCAAGTGGGGTTCTCACAACATCTCCGCTACACGGATTGGTGGGGGTAAATTAAAAGTATGGCGGTCGCCTCAACGCCCGAACGCACTCATCCATATAGCTTGCATCATCAAATACACGGGTGGGCCACCATTCGTTTTCAACAAAGGGTCTTCACCTTAGCGCCGAATGTGTTCGTAAACAAAGCTTTCTCTTTCACACTTGGGCTGTAAACTTAGCGCCGCGCACAATCGTCTTTTCAAGCTTGCACCCGCTACACGGATGGACGGAAGTCGTTTTCAAAATGCGGTGTTTGCCTTAGCGCCGCAAGCCTTTGCCTTAACAGCTCACAGCTCGTACACGGATGGAGCACAGGTCGCTTTTGAAAACGGGACTCTCGCCTTTGCGCTGCGGACGTTCGTCGTCAAACCTGCAACATCCAGAAGTGCTCGCTCAAAGTAGGACTCTCGCCTCAGCGTCGCGCAAATTCGTTTCACCTTTCGAAAAACAATTACCTGGATGGCGGATGGCTCCGTCTCAAAATTGGGTTCTCGCTTGTTCAAACTAAACAGATGTAACGGTTGCACAGATGGAGCGTGGTTCCATTTCAGAATAGGGGGCTCTCGCTTATGCCTCCCTCGGGCTTCATGACCAGAAGTGCAAACATGCGCAAAAAGAATACATATGTAGCGATTGATTTCAAGCGTCGACATCTCGCTAGACAACCTGCTGATCAACGTGAGCTTACCGTTTCCGCATGCCTTGCCATTCGCCAGACAGACAGATCCACAGCGCAATTCCCGTTCCGAACGGAGCTCTCGCCGGAATGGCAGGCCCACGCGGAACTGGTCTTCCAAGCGCGTGCCTCTTGTCCGCCACCCGTTCTGGGCACTGCGCAGGCATGTCCGCAGGTCCTTTGCATAATCCCTGGGACCTCCGACCCCAATCCTGCGGAGTCTTTAGAGGGCCCGGGCCCCGACCTCCGAGATCGTGCGGGGCTTCCAGCGTGCCCCTGGGCTCCGGGGCGTGTTCCCGCAGGACTTCTCCAGGGCCAAGGGGGCCCCAAGACGGGCCAAGAGTGCCCCACGAGGCCCCCAAGACGCCCAGAGAGGTGGCCTCACAACGGCCCAAGAAGCCTTCAAGAGACCCCAAGAGGCCTCCGAGAGGCCGCCCAAGAAGGCCCCAAGAGGCCAAATATTCGGATTTTCATGAAACTTTGAAAGATTTGGGCGCCCTCGCCTTTTCGGCTTTCCGGCTTTCCGACGCTCCTGGACGGCCCAAGAGGCCCTGAAGACCACCCCAAAACAGCCAAAGAGACCTCCAAAAGGGCCTCTAGACGGCCCAAGAGCGCCCCAAGACGCCCCAAGAGGCGCCCAAGACGGCCCAAGAGGGCCCCAAGACAGCCCCCAAAGAGGCCCAAGAGAGGGAACACGAACTGAAAATCCGAGCCTTCCGCCCCAAAAGAGGCCCCCAGGAGGCCCCCAAGAGGCGCCCAGGAGGCCCCAAGAGGCGCCCAGGAGGCTCCCAAGAGGCCCCAAGAGGTCCCCAAGAGGCCCACAAGAGGCCCACAAGAGGAACCAAGAGGCGCCAAAAACGGACAGCCTCCAAACTGCCTCCACGAGGCCCCCGAGAGGCCCCCACGAGATCCCGACGAACACCCACTAGGCTTCATAACCACAACCCAGGCACGATGGCGAGATGGGCCGAAGGCCATCAGATCATGAAAAGAAACGCTCGCATGGACGTGTGAGGGAACTTGGGACGGAAGTGTGTATTGCAGCATCGTTCGTGCATGCTGGCCTTGCTCTGACTGCCCTCCAAACCCTCCTCCTCCGTCCCTCTCCCTCACCAACAGCTCCCTCCCGTCGCCTCCTGAGGCCGGTCGAACGAACGAAGGGTTTTTTTGCAATCCTTCGGGTTTTTTTTTGCAATCCTTCGTTGAAGGGAGGGCGGAGCGTCTGGACCGAGAAGCGCCCTCGCCATGCTCTTGCCCCGAAGCTCGAATGTTGCGCAACTGCACGGACGGAGGGCGGTCCGCCTTTCCGGCACGTGGCCCTCAGCTCGGCGCCGCGCACACCCGGCGCACACACACACACACACACACACACACGCACACACACACACACACGCACGCACGCACGCACGCACGCACGCACGCACGCACACACACACACACGCACACACACACACACGCATACACACACACACACACACACGCGCACGCACGCACGCACACGCACACACACACACAGACACACACACACACACACGCGCGCGCACGCACGCACGCACACGCACACGCACACGCACACGCACACGCACATTCGGAGCAGGTTCGCGGAAGGAGGGCGGCCCGCTTCCAGTGTGTGGCTCTCGCCTTGGCGCCGCGCACGTGCTTTGAAACCAGTGAAGTATAGTCTTTTTTGGTGAGGGCGGTGCCGTTTCAAGCTGTGGCTCTCGCCTGGGCGCCGCGCACATTCGTCTGAAGAGTTCGCAAACGTTTGAAGGATTATCATGGGGAACGTCCCAGAAAATACGTGTTCGGCATGATGTCAGAACGTCAAGGCGCAGCAGCCATGTTGATTCGCAGTGTTGAAGTCCCAGGAATGGTGTCCTTGTACTGTTCATTATCGTCAAGACGCAACAATGACGGTGATGCGCGGCGTTGAACTCCCAGGAATGACTCTATGACACAGTCCTGGATTTTCAAACGTCTGTCTTCAACGTGGCATATCCCTCTGTGAAACTGAGCCCTTGAAGGGGCCTATGAAGAAGGGCCATGGAGGGAGGGTTTGTTGCAGTATCGTTGATGGGTCTTGGGTTTGCACTGCTTCTTCTCCTTCTCCCTCTCTGACCTGCCCCTCCTCCGTCGTCCCCCTCATCATCTTCCCCCCCACATTTTACATTCTGAAGGACAACTCCTCCTGTCGCACCACCAGACGTGTGCGTAGGCCAGGCTGGGCGCTTCGGTGGAGAATCCTGAAGCTGAAACACCAAAATAAAATTGCACACACGGCGGGCTGGTTGTTACAAACATGCGGCTTTCGCATCGGCGAGGCTGGAGGTCGAGACTTCCCAAAACTTTACGATCAAACATGGGAGACAGTGCAACACTTGAACTGATAAACGAAGCGCGGCTGCTTTCAAGTAAAAGGCTCCCGTTGCGACTTCCAAAATCCTGTACGACCGCGACTGTAAAATTGTGTAACACTTGCACGGACGGAGGGCAGATCCTTTTCACGAGAATCAGAGGGGCTATAAATGTTTCTCAATTTCGGCCTCCTGGGTGCCAGCTTTGGGCTCCATGACAATCAACTCGCGAGCAGAAAGCAGGTCCCCGGTCGTTATTCAAACAAAACGTCCGCGGTTGCCAGCGCCGGCGTATGGGGCACGCGCCCCAACTTTAGCACACCCTGGGGGACGCCACAGACGCGCCGACGCACGGCCGCGCCGCGCCTATGCTTGAACACCCCTCACACGCTTCGTGGCGCTCCACTTACGGCCTCAGTGGCAGCTTCCGCAATGCGGCGCCGCCGATTTCGGCATATCCCTCACGAGGACCGTGGCCGCATAGCGAATTTCACAAACGGCCCCGGAGGCAGGGTACGCATGGCGCATGGGAGGGTCCGCAAGGCGGCGCCCCCCATTTCGGCAAACCTCTCACGAGGGTCGCGACCCCGTAGGGAAATTCACCGACGGTCTGCGTGGGAAAGCTTGCATTTTGACCAGAAGTTGGGCGCGAACCCAGCCATGGCGACGAGGGACTCCCAGCATCCCACAAAGACGAAAACAACTGAAGGGTAGCGGAATCGGTACCCTGCCCTCATCTCAAGGAGGATGCGCTCGGGATGTCAGAGGGCCCCTGACCAGAGCAACGTTAGGTGAATCCCTTTCGAAATCCATTCGAACGTATACGGCCTCGGTGTAGTAGCCTCTAGTGGCCTTTAGCTGCCTTTAGTGTCGTTAGCGGTCTTCAGTTGCCTTTAGTCGCCCTGTGGCAGCCTCTAGTGGCCTTTAGCAATCTTTAGTGGCCTTTAATGGCATGTACACACATGCAGAAAAGGTATAATGTAAGTATAAAGAGCTTCCGAAACAACTGGCATACGGTCAAAACGTGTATGAAGGACGGGTGGCAATGACGCAAGACTCTTGGAGGCCGAAGTTTGGATTTTGGGGGCTGCGGGCGCCCAGTGAAAACGGTCAAGGACGGGCCGCAAAAGCAAGGACACAAGGGTACCCTCGATGATGACGCCCGCCCTTACTAGGCGCGTTGACTGTAATCAAAGGGCTCGTGATCAAAGCAGCGTGTATGCCCGAAGCAAGCTGCACAAACCCCCGCGAGCACGCGAGAAGCCATCGGCGCGTCGGCGCAAGGGCACTTGAATGGCCGATGCTCCCTGCACGGCGGACGCAATGGGACACGGATGGGTCAGGTCAGGACACGTACGGTCAAAGCCTTCGCCGCCCCGGTACGCAACACGCAACCCGTAGCGTGTTGACACAGAGCTCAACACGCAGATTGAACACGTACGTTTGGCGCGGCACGTTCGCCAAGACGTGAGCCAACACGTGGAGCCAACACGCAACGTGTTGACACGGACGTGTTGAGCACGTTAAGTGTTGCGAATCAAGACGGGCGTATGGAAGCGACTAAGGTCAGGCTACATACGGTCAATGCTCATAGGAAGGATGCGCGATGAGGATGCAAGGGCCTTGGACGCCCATGTCGAGGCTCTTCGAGCGATGCCATCGAAAATGGTTGAGGATGGACCGAAGATTACGGAAGAGGCAAGGATGCACGGGCACCCTTGGGAAATTGATCATCCTTACCATCGGTTCCGACTATACGGCAGATGTGTGCTGTCACGACACCTGCGTTGGTTTCTGACACCGCATGAACCCTTCGACCTTGGAAACATCGGTGGCTTTTCGATCGCCAAATCGTTCCATAATGCCTGATTCTGGGCCCATGGCGGCGCTCAACCTTGAACGCCCGCGGCGGGGTCCCTACCGCGTCGGCGCGACACGCAGCTACCGTACCCATACAGTCGGGTTGCCGAAATAAGGAACGCACAATAAGACACGAAGCCCTTTTCTGGCCCCGAAAAGCGCCTGCGTGGACGAGGAGCGCCAGAGGAACAGCCCTGGACAGACCTGAGGAACAGCAAGGCGCTCACGCACACAGCCGTTCCTTCTGACAGCGCCTTGGCTGCACCTTCCGCGCTGTGAGTGGGTTCGCGGCGCGGGCCCCGCAACTCCCGACCCCGCTGGACCAGTGTCTCGTCGTGGGTAGTTCTGCGATGGTGCAGGAGCTCGGGGGCGAGCCCCTCGCGGCCGAGGCAAGGGGAAGCGTCCGTCGCAAAATGTCTCGCGGCGCGCGGAGGTGACAGGCCCTTCAGTTCGTGGGCAGGCGAGGAGAGCACCCCGATCAACTCGACCACGCAAGCATTAGGAGGCAACTACTGGGAGGTCGTCGCCGGAAAGAGCAGGAAGGAGTGAGCCCCTTTGGGGGTCCGTTAAGCCAACTATAAGGCCGCGGATTAAGGGGGATGAAAACGGATTGAGCGGAACTGCGCCGGATTCATCAGGATTAAGCCAGATTGAGCTGATTTTCGGCCCGGGGCAAAGTCTGAACTTGACCTCCCAGGATCTACATGCGGACAAGCATATGTGAATTGGGACGGCGGGCGCCGAGCCATCGACTCGTCGCCACCGTCCGCAGGGGAAGGCCTGGCGGTGGGCGGTTTCAGTCGTGCGCAGTACATGAAGCCGCAATCCCTGCTCTCGTGCTGTCTAACATCGCATGGTGATCTCTCTCTCTCTCTCTCTCACACCCTCTTTCGCTCTCCATTCCTATCTCCCTCTCTCTCATGACAAATATCCTGCCAGACATCTGGACCAGTGTCGCATGCATGTATGCATGATATCTCTGCCTCTCGCTTTTTCCAGCAGATATTTGAGCTACAGTGGTCAAACGATACATGTTTTTTCTTTTTGGGAGCACCTCTTCCCTTCCTGGAGGTTGACCCCCCCCTCCCTCCCTGAGATTGTTCGAGGCCGCGACCCGATAGAGCGTCCAAGATGACCGACGATGGCTCCAAGAAGGCGCCCGATGTTCCAAGATGGCCTCCAATATGGCTCCAAATAGCCGACGATGGTTCAAGATAGCTCGCGACATACCTCCCAGAGGCCAGACGACGGCCACAAGACGGTTCCAAGTGCGTTCGGAGCTCCCTCAGGACCCCCCCCCCAAAGAAGCCCAAATCCTTCGAACACCTGATGAAAACAACTGAAGTTCGCCTTCTCGCCTTTTCGCTTCCGATGCGCTGTTGAGCCCTCAAGGTGGCCCCAAGATGGCCCAAGAGAGGCCCAAGAGGGGTCCAGGAGGCTCCCCAGACGACCCCAAGAGCGCCCAAGAGTGGCCCAAGAGCGCCCCAAGATGCGAATGTGATGGCCCAAGGGGGAGTACACAAATTGGGACAACCCCCCTTTTGATCGATAGCCTCCAAGATGGCCTCAAGAGGCCCTCCAAGGCCCCAAAGGGACCCCCAAGAGAGCCCCATGAGGACCTCAAGACCCCTCAAGAGAGCCCCAAAATGACCCCAAGACCACCCAACAGAATTCCAACAGGATTCCAAGAGGCGATTGTGAGGGCGCTGTCCTCGTCCCCGGTGTCATCTCCCCCCCTCCTCCTCCTCGTTCTCGTCCTGCACGCATCGTCTTCCTATTTCGTTTCCTCCTCTTCCTCGTCGTCGTGGTCGTCGTCGTATTCCTCCTGCTCCGCATCCTCCTCCTCCTCCTCCTCCTCCTCCTCCTCCCCCTCCTCCTCCTCCTCCTCCTACCCCTCCTCCTCATTCTCCCCTTACCCCGACGGGGGCCCCAGGGATGGCCCGAAGAGGCCCTCCTGAACCACACCCTTGCCAACAGAGATCTCTCTGTTTACCCTGGTTGCCCGCATTCTTTCACAACGCATGCGTCGCCTCGTACATTTGCCCCGTCAGCTCTCATGGGAAAAAGGTTACCGAATGGACTGGCGGGGGTACTTTTTGATCGCGAGCGCAAGCGGAAAAAGGCCGCGCGCCGTCCAGAGCTACCGCTGACCGGCAAAAGCTCAACTGGTGGGGATACTTGTGACTCGCAACCGCAAGCGGACAGCCGCGCGGCGTCGTGGAGTCGCACGAACGCCAAGCTTGCAGTGAACATGACTGGTGGGGACATTTTCCGGATCGCGGCCGCAGGCGGGCACCCGCGCGGCGTCAAAAGGTCGAACAGCAAAGGGCCAAGGCGCACAGCGCAACTGTCGCCGGCGAAGCGCAGGAAAAGGAGGCCACGATGGTGGCGAAAACTTCCAGGCGATGCGCAGCGGCAGCGCGGCAGCGGCGAAAACTACCAGGCGAAAACTACCGGCCGCAGGCGAGCGCGCCAGCGGCGAGTCCAGTCAGAGCGGGGCGCGCACAGACGAATTAACCTAAAGCGGTGGGCCGGAGCTTCACGCAGCACCCCAGCGGCGGGCCGTCGAGTGGAAAGGGCAGGCTGTAACTGGTAGGGATATTTTTTGGGGGTCGGCGGCCGCGCGACCACGGTCTGGCGGCAACAGCGATGTCCGGGACTACGGATCAAGGCAAATTACACGCGGTGCGTGAGGTGCACGTGCACTGAGCAAAATGCTCCGCAGTCAAAGGCAGACGCACATAGGCGCCGGCCACACCGAAGTGAACAAGCGGCCAGCAGTGCGAGTGCACCGGAGGAAGTCGCCCTGGCGGCGCCAAGCTCCGAGCAGTTCCCCAAGCCGACAGCAGGCAGTGAAAAACGGGAACGACGGCGCTTAAGGCTGAACCACTCAACGCGAAGTCCACGGACACCACAGCCGCACGTGGGGTCGGCGGGGAAACAGAGGCAGAATAATGGCAGGTACCTACAGAGCACTCGGTCCACAAACCACACCGCTGCTCTGGGGGGCGGGCCAATGTGACAATCATCGTATCCGAAACCAGTGACTGGCCGGGGCTGCAACGATGAGAGGGGACTCACTCTGGCCCGAGAGCCGACACACTGCAACCTCGCAGGTAACGGCCACGAATGTCGCCGAGATCCGCAGCTGCCGCGACCAGCTCATGGAGCGCTGGAACGCAGCCAGGGCTGAATCTGACCACAAAGTGGAGGGGGGGTGCAGCCAACAGCCGCAATGTACACATGTCTTGGTAGCAGCTCGCACAGAGCATAGGATGAGGGGGGGTTGTGTGGGCTGCACACAGACCGCTGCCCTGCTGATGGTGCGCGGGGGGGGGGAGCCTATTCCAGTCGATAATCCCCAGCCATCCAAAGCGGCTGTCGAGAGAGACAGCAAAGGGGGGGAGCGCGGGGAGGAGGAGGAGGAGGAGGAGGAGGAGGAGGAGGACCTTGACCTTGACCTTGACTCATCCCGAGTGAGATGACTGTGGGAGGCATCCGCTGGAATCCCGCGAGCATTAAGAGAAGAGACCCACAGTCTGCTTCACCCGCAAGGTAAAACGCAGAAGCCATGGACAGTATGCTGCCGCGCACAGCAACGGTGGCAGCCGAGGAGCTCGCGCTAAGAGTGGCGGCCTGCTTGCAGGCGTTCCACTCCAAGCAAGGGCCCTTCAGCACCACTGGTGGGGATACTTTTTTGGCTGGCGGCTCCCAGGCGAATGTCAAGGAGCGGGGCATCGAACGGGACGCGAAGCGAAGATAATTGGCCGCAGTGGCATATGCACATGCGAGGGACAAAATGACCCAAATTACACGCCAAGGCTGGCGCAAACATCCCGGCGATTGGGGACCACTACGCAACGACCGAACTGGTGGGGGTACGCGTAGCGTGAAGAATGACACGTCTGAATCCCACCTCACGGCTGGGCTTAGGTGGTTCAGGAACATCGTCAGTCCACTTCCATTATTCCCCTTCGTGGAGGGGTCTACCCCTTCCCCAAAGCCCCTCCCAGTGGTCTGGACCCTTCTCCCCGCGAGCTGTCAGAGGCCCTTGACGGCCCAAGATGGCACGGGTCCCTTGTTGTCCTGACATGGCCCCGGGTAAATCAAGATGGTGTCGAAGATGGCACACGATGGCTCCAGTTGGCATCCAGCATGCCTTCAACATGCCCGAGACTCACCCAACACCTTCCGCACTCGTGGGGAGTAGTTATATGAAGCCCCATGCAAAAGAACAGCCTGAGAGATCTGCGCGATCTGCGCTGCCCCGCACTCCGCCGTGCCGCCCAGGAGCCCACGACAAGTGCGACAATCGCAAATTTCGCAACCCCCGACGGGACCGCCAGGTCTCCTCCAAGGGGTCCCCGCTGCCCTGCACTCCGCCGTGTCTGGCAGGAGCCCGCGCACGTGGCGACGACTGCGCAAGCCGCTGCCCCCCAACGGAGCCGCGAAGTCTCAAGCGGGATCCGCGTAGCCCTGCACTCCGCCGTGCCTGCTAGGAGCCCACAAACGTTGCCACAGTTGCGCAGCTCGCACCCCCCGACGGAGCCGCGAGGTCTCAAATAATCTGCGCGGCTATGCGTTCCACCGTATCCCCGCCGAGCCCACGTACTCCCCGACACCGCTGGGCCTCCCAAGAGCAGACGAACGCAGCGACAATGTCGCACGTCGCAGCCTCCCAGGGAGCCGCGAGGTCTCGGCTGGATCCGCGTGTAACCCCACCCCACTGGACCTCCCAAGAGCCCAAGCAACAAGAGATTCGCACTTCGCACCACCACCCCGCAAACGGCTAGATCCGCGTGTAAATCCACTGCTGGACTCCCCAAGACCCCACAAACGTCGCGATACGCTCGCACGTCGCACCCCGCCAGGGCGCCGCGAAGTCTCGGCTGGATCCGCGTGCAACTCCGCTCCGCTGGAACCCCCAAGAGCACAAACCTGACGACCTTTTCGCACGCCGCAGCCATCTAAGGCACTGCGAGGTCTCGGCTGGCTCCGTGTGTAGCTCCGACCCGTTGGAGCTCCCAGGGGCTCACGAACGCAGCGGCAATGTCGCGCGTCGCAGCCCCCCCCCAGGGCCCGCGAAGCCTCGGCTGGACTTTTCAGTGCAACTCCACCACGCTGGACCTCCCCAGAGCCCACGATACTAACGACTGACAACTTTTGCTTGGGATTGAACTTGGCACATCAAAAGCTCGGACTCATCGTATACGCCTACCTGCACACGACGCAACACACGTAGCACATAATACACCAGCCGAGTACGACTCACAACCCACGAATACACGACTTCGGCCCGCCTCATACCTGGAATGGGAGCCCATACGGGCGTACCCCAGCGAGAGACAAGAGGGCAATTCACCACAACGACATAGATGTTCGGCTAATGCTTACAGGCCTCTCAACTGAATCAGCTACAAAAATGGATCGGCCTCTGCATCGCATCTACAAAGAGCAGTCTGCAATCCAAGCTACTTACGACAGACTCACAGGCGCAGCAACTCGGCCCAAACCAAGCGATGTCACTATTTGCGCCGCTCATAGGCGCCTTACATACTGTATGCACTTGATATGCAACATGACACAAGACATACCCCTCACAAGGTCACAACAAATGCCACACGTGCCGTGCATACAACAAATGATCGAACTCACCACGCTTCATCTACGCACCATCGTTGCAGACTTAGATTACTTACAAAGAGACAAGACCAACTTACCAAAGAACGAACTATACTACCGGCCGGCATCCAAGACTCACGTTGCCGTGACCCATGCACGGTGGCGGGGGATGGGCCGAAGGTCACTAAAGCTTGTCACACATGCTGTATGGGCACACGTGGAAAGTGTGGTGCGTGAGGGTGCTGCCTGACCTCCAGTGCGGCATCCGCGCACGAGGCTGGTGTGCCAAGTGAGGTTGCCATCTTTCCCCCCCACACGGGGCTTGCACTTCGGGGGGACACCGCGTGGATCCCTTACGGCGCCGAGGATGTTCCACGTTGCAGCCTCAGTCGGGCCTGTCTCTCATACAGGGGGATTTTCGGCGAAAAACAAAAAACCCAAATACCCCAAAAAGGTCAAACAAATACTCAAAAAAGAGACACCTCAAAAAGGTTAAATATTCGAAAAATAGTCCCCAGACTATTTTTGGACTATTTTTTGATTATTTTTGGGGTAGGTTTTGTTTTTCGTCGAGAATAAAACAGGGCTAGAATCGGGATACATCGATCCAGAGCGTTCCGGAGCGCTCTCAGAGCGTTCCGGAACGCTCTGAAGCGGCCGAGGCGCCCAATACATCCTCCAAACCCGCCGAATCTCAGAGATTTCGAGTTATCCCGATCCGATTTTGTCCCGATCTTCGCGTCGTTTTAGAGAATCCCCCTGTAAGGGGGACAGGCCCGACTGAACTCTACCGTCACGCGGGCGCTCGTGGGCGCCCAGTGCGCTTGCAAGGCCCGCCAAGGCTGCGCCACGCTGCCGCCCGCTCTGCCCCGCGCTGCCCTGGCAAGGGCTTCCCGCGGTGGCGCCCCGCTTTGCCGCCCCGTGGGCGCCTCGTGGGCGCCTGGCTGGCGCCCCGCGGGCGCTCGCGGGCGCTCGCTAGGCGCCTCGTGGGCGCCAGTGCGCCTCGCGGGCGCCTCCTCGTGGCGCCCCGTGGCCGCCCCGTGGCCGCCCCGTGGGCGCCCCGTGGGCGCCTCGCGGGCGCCCCGCGCGCACCGCTTTGCCGCCTCGTGGGCGCCTCGCGGGCGCCTCGCGGGGCGGCCAGTGCGCGAAGCGTGCGCAGCCCACATGGCTCACACCCCACAGCTGACACTTCGTGGAGAGCACGGCGTCCACCTTAGTGGGCCCTGGAAACGACAGGGCCGTTGTTTTACCGAATCCGTTCTGCCGTTTTTGCTGCCGGTTCCGACGCCGTTTTTTTACCGGTTACGTCACCGTTTTTTGACCGGTTCCGGCTCCGGTTCCAATCCTGGAACCGTTTGTTTGCCGTTTCCGGTCGCCGTTTTTTTGCCGTTTCCATTTTAAAGTGGCACTTTTCTGGAAACGGTGAAAAAACGGCCCTGCCGTTTCCGGGGCCCACAAAGGTGTCCACCATAGTGTCTTCTTCAGGTGACCAGCTGCCGCCGACTCAAGGCCTCGGCTGCCTCAAAGCAGCCCAGGTGATTGGGCTTGGCTTGCCGCTGGCAGCTACAGCTAGATATTCCCACATCACGGGGCCACATAGCTTTGACGGACTGTCTAACGCCTCCTCCGCCTCCTCCAGCGGGGGATCGTCACCTCCGCAAGGGAACGGCATTTCAGCGAGGACGCGGGCCCCCAAGAACACTTGAGAGCCTTCCCAAACGACCCCAAAGGTCCAGCTTTGATCTTGGAGCCTGGATTTCCAGCAGGAGCTGGTGACCCCCTGGTGGTGACCCCCCCCTCCGGCACTGCCCAATCTAATCAAGGCACCTTCGACCGAACGAGAGGGAGCTCGCTCTTGCCTCGTGTCCTCGTACCGCATCCCCCGGCGATGGATGTAGACGCCGGCCTTGCCACGCATGACGACCTGTGCCAGCCGCGTTTCCCGCATGCCAGCAGTACTCTTCCTCCGCATCCGCGCCCTCCTACTTTGACTCCTACTTCTCTTCTAAGAGGAAGTCTGCATGATCCAGAAGTTTGGAAACTCAGCGCAGATGTCTTGGATCTTTACTGAACACCCGCCTTCCTCTGCTCCTCCTCCTCCACCTAAGAATCGTCCTCCAGCTACATCTCCGCACACTGCTCCTCCTCCACCTCTTCCCCTTCCCCCACACTGCCTCAATCTATCCCCACTTCCTCCTCCTCCTCCTCCTCCTCCTCTGGCAGGGACTCACGAGGAGGGAACTTGTGAGAAGAGGGTGGATTGCAACGTCGTTGATTCATGTTGTGTTTACTCTGACCCAGCTCCTCCTCCCTCTTCTCCACCTTCTCTTCCTCTCACTCCTGCACTTCTCACTCGTTTTCCAAGTAAGGCGCGTACAGACTCTCCTGAGATCCTATTAATGAATAAATTATGAAACCTGCGTCCCGAATTAGTCTCGCCACCAGCCGCCAGGGGGACAAGGGTTTCTGCGGATGCGTGTTTCCTCCTTTCCCCCCCACTCCCTCCTAGCAATGCGTCGTCGTTTTTGTCATCGTCGTCACATTTCCTCTCCGCCTCACCTGTATCGCCCGGCGGAGAAAAGTCGGAATCCGCTCCGAGTGAAACTGGGAGAAAACGCCAAACTGGCAGACAAACCGAGAACGAAACGGGAGACGGCCGGTGTTCGGTACTGTTTAGCATGGCCTGGTTGGTGGCCAAGGCCGTCCACGGCGCCGGCAAAAACAGAAAATCGACCGAACCAACCGCAAATCCAAGACCGACCCAAAACAGACAGGCCGCAAGCAGCCTAGCAGCCTAGAAGGACGCATGCGGCGCAGCAGAGAGGCAACGACCGGGCGAACCGAACAGCTCGAGCGCAGCTGGCGGCGACGCCACCGGACCGTAACGACCACACCGCGGACACACTCGGGTTTTGCCTGGCTTGCTCGAAGTTCCGCAAGCGCCCTCTACATCTCCTACGCTCCCACGGCAACCTGCAGAGAGACACCCTGGCAAGACCTCGTGGGGTTTGGGGGGTACTATTCCTGATGGAATCCCACGTCCCCCCGGACGCCTCAGACTCTGCAGGACAGGTCAGCGAGCCACTCAGCGCAAGAGACAAAGTGCACTCAACCTTCCGCTGCAAGAGGAATGAACGAGAGGGAGAGAGGGAGAGAAAGCGAAATGGAGAGAGAGAGAGAGAGAGAGACACACACACACACGCAGACACACACGCACACACGCACACACACACACATACAAACACTACAAAGACACACGCAAACACGCACACGTACACGTACACGCACACGCACACGCACACGCACACGCACACGCACACGCACACGCACACGCACGCGCACACACACACACACACACACACACACACATCTATATATATACACACACGCGCACACGCACACGCACACGCACACGCACACACACACACACACCACACACACGCACACGCGCACGCACACGCACACGCACACGCACACGCACACGCACACACGCAAAAACACACACACACACACACACTCACTCCCTTCGTCGGCAGCAAGGCGGCGAACTCCGCTCCAGCGAAAAGCTAGCAAAGGGGAACTCACTAGCGAATTGGCCGGCAGAAAATGAGTGGGAGGGGGCCGAGAGGAAGAAGGAACGCTCAGACGCCGAAGAGTTCGACGATGAACAGCGCGGGGGGGCAGCAGCAGCTACGCGCGGAGGGCCAGAGAGCGGTGGGCGGCCGTTGAGAAACACGGTGGCAAGGGTGGCGGGAGGGCGGCTGCCAGCAGCTGGAAATGGCACGCGGGCGCAGTGGGACACCGCGAACGGCGCAGGTACCGCGGCGCGCCGAGGAGTAGGCACAGCACTGAACCGCGCGGAAGCGGGAACGGTGGTAGAGGCAGCGACAGGAGTATTGCGGCGGCCCGGGGCGCGCCAGGTGGCCAGGGGGCCAGGGAAGGCGGGGCGCGAGGCGGCGGGCGAAGCGCCCCAGGCGCCGGCAAGCGGCGGGGCGGAACAGCAACGCAATTGGGAGGGGGAATCGCGGGCTGCCGGAAAGAGGCGGCAACGCCGCCGGATGGCCGGCAGTGACAAGGGCATTGCGGCGCGACCGCCTGGGGCGCGCCAGGTGGTCAGGGGGCCGGGAGAGGCGAGGCAGGAGGCGGCGGGCGAAGCGCCCCAGGCGCCCGCGGGGCGGGGCGGAACAGCATCGCAACGGGAGGAGGCAGCGAGGGGCTGCCGCGGAAGGAGGGGGGCACCGAAAAGTGCAGAGGCCGGGTAGCAGCAACGCAGGGCGGCCCAGTGGGCGGCCCAGCGCGGCGCGGCATAGAAGCGCCGAAATGGCGCAAGGGGCAGCGCGTGAGCGACGCGCGCCCCAAACGCGAGGCGCGTCGTGAGGGGGCGCCGGTGGGGGGCTCCGAAAGGTGCAGGAGCCGGGAATGCAGAGAAGCGCCGAAGTGGTGCAGGGGACAGTGGGCGAGCGACGCCGCAGGGTGGAGAGGCGAGGGAGGGCGCCGAGGAGCTGCCAAGCCAGGGTTCGGAGAGGCGCCCAGCCCAGAGGGCCACGCGCCCCATGGAGGTCGGGCAGGGGGGGGGAGGAGGCCGCCGGCAGGGCGGCGCGGCGGCCGCGCTGTCCGCTGGCCCGCGCGGACGGGCACCCCTGGGAAGGCGGCGCGCGGGTGGCTCGTACTGGCTCGCGCTGGTGAATAAAGCGGCTGAGGAAGGAGGCGTCGCGACAGCTGGGGTCGCGGGCGCCGCCGCCGCGCCGAACGCAAGACCTTTGCCAGGCCGCCCCAGCTCCACCGCCAGCCCGCAGCGCCCTCCCGGCCGGGGCAGCGAGGGCCCCGTTCGTGCCGAGGAAGTCGAGCATGACGGAGGTTGGAACATCTTCGGGGCGAGCCCGTCCCCTGTCCGTTTTCCTATGGTCCGGAGTGAACGAGTCCCATTGGTCACGGGCGTCTGGCGCCGCGGCCCAGGGGTGCTTGACGAGCGGCAGGAGCTTGCGCCGTGCAGGCCTGGCGCTGAAGCTGCCCGCGGCGCCGGAACCGTCCGCGGCGTCGTCGCGGGGGGGCAGCGGGGGGCATCGGGGGCCGGCGGGGGGTCGACGCACGGCGGGCCCGCGTTGACCCGGGCGTCGGCACGAGTAGCTGCCGTGGCAAGCCGCAAGGACGGAGACCACGCAATGCCCCGACTGGCCGGCAGGGGTCGGGCGGGGGCGTCGGAAGGGGCAGCGGCCAGGGCGGGGGGGGCGCAGCGCTGGGCGCCGGCTGCGGTGCCGACTGAGACGTCGGATCCAAGCGCGTCGGGCTCGGCGTCGCCATCGTCAGCACGGTCCGCCCAGCGGCGCCCGTCTGGCCGCCCGAGGTCGCGATGCTGGAACCTATCTGGCTGCTCGCGGTCGCGGTGCTGGAGCCCGTCGTACTGCGCGCGGTCGAGCTGCTGGGGTCCGTCGCGCTGCTCGCGATGTTGCTGCTGGGGTATTGCCTGCTGCTCGCGTTCGCGCTGCGGGACTCCGTCGTCCTGTTCCCGATGGCGCTGCTGGCGCCCTCTCTGCTGGCTACGACTGCGCTGCTGGGCTCCGCCACCCGGCCGCGGCGACGAGGGTTCTCCAGGGCGAGCAGCGCGCCAGGTGGGATCGTCGCGACCACGGGGGGGGGATTCTGAAGGGCCCCTTGGCTTCCACAGCGGACTGGGGGGGCCACCTCGAGACTGGAGGGCAGTCAAGATATTGCGCCACCCTGAGCACTCTGGTCTCTGTCGACCTGGCCGCCCGCGGTCCGAGCCGGACCGGGGGCCGCGGGGTCCACTACTGTGGGCGCCAGACGGCAGCGAAGGTTCCCAAGCCTCTTGTGGCGCCAGCGTGTCATCGCAGCCTTGGACACGTGGTTCTAGCCAGCCAGACAGAGCACCTCTTCGCGGTCCAGGAGCGCCGCTGCCAGACGCGTCGGCCCGCGCGCCTCTAGGCGGCGGCCGGTCGCGGCGGGCCCTCAGCGTGGCGACGGGGCTCTGTCTGACCAGATGTGCCCCGACCAACGGCGGCACCGCCTGCAGTAGGCGTGCGCTCGGGGGCCGGTGAGGGGCGCTCAGGTTTCGGACGCCGCCGTCGTTGCTCTGTCCTGGAGCGCCACTGACAGCGGCAAACGCGGGAGAGGTGGGGGCCCCCCCTGGGCCCCGGCGAGGCTCAGGGGAGGCCCGCTGGTATCTATCTCCGCCATCTCTACCCGGTTCGGCCCGCTGGTCTCTGGCGCCGCCCAGGCCCCCCGCGCCCCTGAGCACGCTGTCAGGTGAACGGACACTAGCCTCCCAACGTCGCATTTGAGAGCGCAGCGGGGTTCCGCGATAACGGATGTGAAGCTACGATGTTCGGCCCGCTGGTCCCAGACGCCGCTGTCACGGGGCGCCGCGGAGCGCGGCAAGAACGGGCGAAAAGGGCGTTCCCTCCGAGCCCAGGCGACGCTCAGGGGAAGCCCGCTGGTTCCGCCGCCGCCGTTGCCGCCAGGTTTGCCCCGCTGGTTTCCGGCGCCGCCGCCGCTGCCGGACCCGGGGGGTATGGAGGTTCCGCCGGGGCCCTGGCGAGGCTCAGGGGGGGCCCGCTGGTTTCCGCCGCCGCCGTCGCTGCCATGGCCCGGGCCCCCTTGCCCCCGCCCCCCCCCCCCCTGGGGGGCGCGGGGGGCGCCGCGAAACGCGGCAATGGCAATGGGAACGTCGGCGCCCCGACCTCGGTCGGGCCCGCGCGGGCGCGACGTCGGCGAGGGGGGGTCGGAAGGAACGGGGCCCCCCGAGCCCCCCCCACTCCTCCTTCCTGGCACCCCGCGCCGCCGCGAAGTGCGGCAGCGGGGGAGAAAACAGAGCGGTCCCGCGCGTCGGGCCCGCGCGGGCGCAACGCGGGGGGTTCGCCAGCGAGACCAGCGCCGCGCAAAGGTCCTGAAGCAACAGCAGTCGATTCCTCGAGAGTAGTGGTTCCGTGGGCCTCCCCCACCTCCTCCTCCCCCTCCTCCCCCTCTCCCCCCCCCCTCCTCCTCCTCCTCCTCCTCCGCCTCCTCGTCCTCCACGTGGCCCTCGTCCATGGCGAAGACTTAAGCCCTGCACCCCTTCGCCTGCAATTCCGCCTCCCCAGGTTCCGCGTCGACGACCTTCCCCTCCGTGTCCACCACCTCCTGCGCCTCCTTCGCCTCCTCGACGCCCTCCTCGACGCCCTTCTTGATGCGCTCCACCGTCGAATCCGCCGGGCACCGAGGCTGGTCATGGTGGCGCTGCTGGGGTTCCGCAGACGTTGGCGTCGATGACCTCGGCAGCGCTGTCGAGGATGCAAGCGTCGCCAGAGCAGCGTCGCGCGCGTCGCCCTCCCCGCCAGCTGCGACGGCCTTCCCCGCGTCCTGCCCCTGCCAAGTCCCCCCCCCCGCGTCCTCCTCACCCTCCTCCACAACGTGCGCGTCGGCGTGCGCCGCGACGTGGCGGCCGCGAACTCGGCGGCCAGCGTCAGCCTGGTCGCGGCCAGCAAGAGGCCCGCGCGGGCAGCAGCAACGGCGGCTGCAGCGCAGGCGCCCGCAGCGGCTGCAGCGCAGGCGCCCGCGCTGCCAGCCGAGGCGGGCGGCCAAGCCACGCTGGCCGCGCCGACCGCCCATGGGGCGGTCGGCGGCGCTGGCGGCGGCGGCCGAGGGGGCGCTGGACGCGCCGGCGGCGCCAGCAAGACGGCGCACTCGGGCCGCGCCGACATGCCCAGGGGCGCTGGCAGCGCCCAGGCCGCCTGCGGGCCCAAGAAGGCGAGCAGCCCAGCCCGCGCCGACGGCCCAAGGGGCTTCGGCAGCGAAGGTCGAGGCGGCGCCGCCAGCAGCGCCGGAAGCGCTCGCAGCAGCAAGCGCGCCGCCGAGAGCGGTGGCGCCTGTCGCGCCAGCATCACCAGCAGCGGCAACGGCGCCAAAAACTCCCGGCGGGCCCGCGACGACCGGGGCGCCGGCGGCGGCGGCAGCCAAGCGGCGACCGACAGCGGCGCGGGCCTGCCGCTGTCGCCGCGCCGCCGCGGTCTCCATCATGCCAGGGCTGGAGCACCGCACCTGGCCAGGGGCCTGCTCGAGCCGAGACGGCCTTGAGCCAAAAGGGGGTACGGACACACACGCACACAATGACACTTAGACTTACACTTACATGTACACTTACATTGACACTTGCACTTGCACTTGCACTTGCACTTACACCTACACTTACACTTGCACTGACCCTTACACCTACACTTTCACTTTCACTTCCACTTCCACGTGCATGTAGACTTGCACACACACACATACACACACACACACACACACGCACACATGCACACGCACGCTTACGCACATCTTGGCGATCGCGGACTCGCGCGCAGCGAAGCGGCGGAGAAAGCCCCTAAGCGACTAGAGCGCGCGCGCGCGGCCAGCACCCCAGACGAAGGGGCGCGCATGCACACAGACGCTTGTATCTTTTGGCGTCGCGGCCACGCGCGCAGCGTCGCGGCGCAGAGAGGTTCGGGGGGGAGCCCGCGCAGGCCCGGCACACGCAGCGGAAAGACGAGGGATCAACCCACGGGGGATCGACACCGCAACTCACGGGGGGGGCAGCAGTGAGGGGACAGCCAGGGAAGAGGGGGGGCAAGACGAAGAGTCGAGTAGGGATCGACTACAAAACTAATGAACCCCCAACCTGACTTGTCCCGTCGAACACACGTGGAACGTCTACTACGTAGAATGTGTTTTAAATTACGCGCATTCTACATATTCTTCGTCGATCCGACGAACATTTCAAATTTCAGGTGAATCAATTATGTAGTCGATCCCCTACACGAAAAGTGCGGCAAAGATGACGATGAAGTGAAGCGACAGCAACGGGAAGGCGAAGCGGGCGAGGCGCAGTGGGGAGCGGCAGCGGCAGCCACCTGCGGGATCCTGGCAAATCAGCAACCAGGGGACACACACACATTACGACGGAGACAGGACGAGGATAGATCCCGGTGAAAATACATCGGGAATCTCTGAGATCCAGCGGTTCCGGAGAATGTCTCTGGCGCCGCGGCCTTCTCGGAGCGTTCCGGAGCGCTCCGGAGCGGATCTATCCTCGTCCTGGCCTTAAGTCGGGCATGTCCCCCTACAGGGGGATTTTGGACGAACAAAAAAAACAAACTCCCAAATGGTCATTTATATATATATATATATATATGTGTAAGTATAGAAGTATATATATACATGTATAGATATATATCACACATATGTATATATATATATATGTACACCTATTTTTGGAATGCAGGGGCTGTCCTCTGAGGGGGCCTGCCTCCTCTGAGGGCCTGTCCTCCTGCAGGGGCCTGTCCTCCTGCAGGGGGACAGGCCCGACTGAATGCACGACGCACGCGCGCGCACTAGCAAAACCGCATTCGGATGGGCCGTGCACTCTCCTCCCCGTGCCTGCCGTCGGGTGGCATCTCCCCCCTCCCCTTCCCGTCTTCTCGCCCTCCTGCTCCCCGCCCCTCGTTTTAAGTCGGGCGTGTCCCGCTACAGGGGGATCCTGGGCGAAAAATGCAACAAAACATTTTAAAAAAAATACCCCCCAAACGAGCAAACATAGTCAAAGCATCGTCCGACTCTATGACAACTACGTATTCTTGAAAATTCCCCCTGTAGAGGGACAGGCCCGAGTTAACCCTCGCCCGCTGAGCACGCGACGTAGCAATTCTTCGGGGGGTCGCCCTGCCGGAAGATAACGAAGTCCTCCGCGAACCTCTGCACCGATGCCTCCTCGCGGCAGGGGCGGCGGATGCAGGATGGACACGCCCAACATTGTCTCGCCCCCGTTCTCCGACAGCCCGTCCTCCTCCTGCTCCGCCTGCTCCTCAACGTCCTCTCAGTCCTCCAGCTACTGCTCCCGACGCCTGCGTGAGCGACGATCAGAAGCGGGTCTCACGCGACATGGCATAGCGACCCTACGCGGTGACTCACGCGGGCCGCCACCTCGGCACGCCATGATGGAGACGATGGCGCTTGGGCGCTTCGCGCGACCTTACGCGGGCAGCTTACGCGCCAATGTCGGCGAAGACGACCGCGTTTTTTTTTGTTTGCGTCGCCCACGTGAGAGTAGGGAGGGTGACGAGCGGACAGTGGGACAGTCTCAGGCCCTCCCAGCGCGCGTGGCAAGGTGGGACCCCGCCGTGTGGACCCCTGCTGTTCTAGCTGCCGTCGTGGCCCCACGAGCTGTCCCACGTCCCTCCCGCGCCCCTCCCCGCAACCCGCCGCGCGACCCCCCCCCCCCCCCCCCCCCCCCGGACCCTCCCGCGCCCCGCCGTCCGCGCCCCCATCGCGGCTGCGGGACCGCCCCGTGGCCTGCTTCAGGGACGCCGAACCCGAACGCAGACCATAGATTGGAAGCTCCGAGGTCTCGCGAAAGGGGGGCAACTGCTTCGTCCGGCTACACGCAGGAGTGGCCCTAGCCCAGAGTGATCTTGGGTGCGCGGTTTTTGGGGGGCCACGGGAACGGCCCCAGGAGGGCCCCCAAAAGACTCCCAAGAAGCCCCAGACACGCAAAATAACACCATGGCTCCTAACAGCGAGCGGTGACGTAACAAGCTCTGAATACCAAGGCTCCCCAGAGCGCGTTGACGAAAAAAGGTATTAACAGTAAAGCGCCCAAGAGCGAGCGGCAACGCAAAAGTCTGTGTTCTCCAGGACTCCCAACAGAGAACGGTGACGCAACAAGCTATTAACGCCAAGCCTCCCAAGAGCGAAGGTTGCCATGAACCATCTCAGGCAAGTGCCTGCAGCGCTCTTTCCGTTCCCGTGCCGGCCCAGGTGACGGAAATAGCGAGGTACGAGTGATGTACGTTGTGTCGGGACGAAGCCCTCCAGGGAGGGGTCCAGGGGAGGGGCGAGGCCCGGGTGATACCGGGTAATGGCCAGCCCGGAACGCTCCCATGGCCCGTTTCCTTTTATTTTTTCGAATGACGCGGTCCACAAGGGACCCAGACGGCCCAAAAGGATCGAAACGGCCCAAGAGGGCCCCAAGACGGCCCAAGAGGGCCCCAAGAGGGCCCCAAGAGAGCCCCAATAGGCCCCAAGAGGCCAAGAGGGCCCCAAGAGGGCCCCAAGAGGCCCCCAAGAGGGCCCCAAGAGGCCCCCCAGAGAGCGCCGAGACTTCCAAGACGCCCGAAGACGGCCCAAAAGGGCCCCAAGGCGGCCCAAAATTGGCCCAGAAGGGCTCAAAAAGAGCTCCACACGGGCCCCAAGAAGACCCCGACGAGGCCCAAGAGACGCTCAAGAACACCATGGCTCCCATCCGCGAGCGGTGACGTAAGAAGCTCTTGACACCAAGGCTCCCCAGAGCGCGGAGACGTACAAAGCTTGTCACACCAAGAGCCAAGGCTCCCAAGAGCGAGCAGCAACGTAACAGTCTCTTAACACCAGGGCTCCCAACGGAGAGCGGCGACGTAACAAGCTCTTCACACCAAGGCTCCCAAGGGCCCTCTCGGGCCAATTCCTGGGGCGCTCTTTCCGTTCCCGTGCCGGCCCATGCGACGGAAAAGGCAAGGTACGAGCAATTTACGTTGAGTTGGGCGCTTGCGCCTCCCCTTGGGGGTGAGGCGCGGAATTCTCCGGTTGATGGCCAGCCCGCCCCCTCCAGACGGCCCCCTCCAGACAAGACGGCCCAGGTCGAACGGCCCAGGTCGAACTCGTGGACCCGAGCTGGCGGGCGCAGCGCCTGCTGGTCGTGGACCTGCCTCGCCCCCGCACACCAGCCACATCGGAGGCCACGGGCCTGTCCTGCGGGCAGGACTTCTGTCCACACCCGGGGCGTCTTGGACGTTCGTGGAAGGGGCGCCGCAGGGCCGAGGCGCACTGGACAGGCACAAAAATCTGGCCCTCTGGGGCCAGATCTGAATCCGTGTCCGCTGCGCCGCATGCTTCTGGGGAGGAGAGCCCGACACTCCGAGGCGCACTGGATGTGGAGTTACACGCCGTTCAGTTCTAATCGCGCTCATGTCTCCTAGTGCTCGCTTCTGATTGCTCCTGGCCCCCCAGTGACCAGGAAGAGGCCCAGGATAGAACAAATAGGAATGAAAGGATCTTGCCCCCCAAAAAAATCGAAGCACTCTCGTGGAAGGAGAAATGAGCAATGTGTAGACATTGCATGTCCCCCTCCCTCCCCGCCCTCGTGCTCCCGCGCGCCTGCTACTCCCCTCCCCCCACCGCCTCTCCCCTCGCCTCCTCCCCCCCCCCCCGCGCGAGGCGGGCCGGAAGAGACCGCGGCGGCTCCCCCACCCGGCCCATGTCCACCCACAGACGGCGACGACGACGACGACGACGACGACGACGAGGACCACGACGACGAGGACGACGACGACGACGAGGACGACGACGACGAGGACGAGGACGAGGACGACGACAACGACGACGACGACCGCGGCGACGACGCCGACGACGACGGCGACAGCGACGGCGACGGCGACGACGACGACGACAGCGACGGCGACGTCAGCGACGGCGACGACGCCGACGACGCCGACGACAGCGACGGCGACAACGAGGACGACGCCGACGACGACGACGGCGGCGGCGACGACGACGGCGGCGGCGGCGACGACGACGAGCGATCCGTCCTGAAGCGCCCCCCAAGACGAGAGGCGAGAACACGCAGGGGAGGGCGGCCGACGTCCTGGCTGGCACTCGTCCGATTTATCTCCACGCCCCTCTGACGTGGTATTTCTTCCGTCGCGTGGGCCCCGAGAGGCCTGGGCCCCTCCCTCCCCCAAGGCCGGCCAGCTTTTTCGCCCCGAGTCGTGCATGGACGGCCGCTCGAGGGGAGTCGTGGGAGCAGGGTGAGATGAGGCACTGGCGACTCGATCGGTCCCCCGACCCAGCCCAGGGCCCAAACGCACGAATTCCCCGAGTGGCGCCCAGCCGTGGCGACGAGGGCCCCCCCGAAGGTCAACCACCGTTGTCTCAACTCGCCCTCCTCGAAGTCTCGGTCTTCTTCCCCATCCCTCTTCCCCTCCCCTCCTCTTCCTCCTCCTCCTCCTCCTCCTCCTCCTCCTCCTCTCTTCTCCTCGTCTTTTTCCCCGAGGAAGGAAAAGAGCCAAGACGAATTATAACGGCGAGATCTGGCCCTGTACTCCTGCGCAAGCTGGGCTATGAGCCCAGGGTTCTTGCTGTCGAGGTCTGAGAAGAGCTTCACGCTCTTCAGGGCGGCTCTGATCTGGGCCGTGCTCGCTCCTACTCCTCCTCCTCCCCCTCCCCTCCCCTCCTCCTCCTCCTCCTCCTCCCCTCCCCCTCCTCCTTCTCCTCTTCTCCCTCCTCCCCCTCCCCCTCCCCCTCCCCCCTCCTCCTCCTCCTCCTCCTCCTCCTCCTCTCCTCCTCCTCCTCCTCCCCAACTGCCGCTGCCGCTCCCAATCGCGAGGGGGCGCCAACAGAAGGCACGCATGAGCATCGGAGGTCCGCGCCCCTCGTGCTGGTTCTCCTCCTTCTCCTCCTCCTTTTCCTCCTCCTCCTCCTCCTCGAGCTCTTCCTCCCGATCCTCCTCCTCCTCCTACTCCTCCTCCTCTTCCTCCTCCTCCCCGTACTTGTCCTCCTCCACCTCCTTGTCCTCCTCCTCCTCCTCCTCCTCCTCCTCCTCCTCCTCTCCCCCCCGTCCTCCACACTTCTCTCCCGGTGCTCCTTCCCCTCCTCCTCATCCGTTCGAATGCGAATACCCGACGCTAGTACCCAACCCTTTGCATCAAGTGGCCAGAGGAGCTGGTTCAAATTATCATGGATGGTGGTAACGCTAGGGCCGCCAGTTGATGTGCAGGCTATATAACACGCGCGCGCTGCACGGCTGCTAGGACAGCGGCATAAGGACGAGAAGTGAAGCCCCCAAATGATGGCAAGGTCTCGCGCTGATCTGCGTAGCACCGCACAAAGGTGCCCCCCCCGGAGCCCACGAACGTGACGACAGTGTTGTAGCTCGCAGCCCCAGAGATGCCGAGCTCCCGCCCTGATCTGCACAACACCGTGCTAAGCTGGCACCCCCCAGCAGGCCTCGAAAGTGGCGACAGTCTCGCACATGGCAATCCCTAAAGGCTGCGAGGTCCAACTTGAACTTACGTATGAGGTCGTTCCGATAGCGCCCCCGCCAGCAACCTTCGAGGGCCGCGACAATTTCGCAGTTCGCAGCCCCCCCCCCCCAGGGCTGGCGAGGTCGAACTTGAATATACATTTGACGCCACTCCGCTGCATCCCCGAGCAGCCCTTGATAGCTGCGACTGTTTCGCATGTCGCAGCCCCCCGAAGGGATGGCGAGGTCCAGCCTGAATCTGCGTATGAAGTCACTCCGTAGACCTCGGGGAACGGTGAGGACCAGTCTGAATCTGAGTATGACGTTGCTCCGCTGCCCCCCCCCCCCCAGCAGACCCTCCAGGCAGACCTCGAATATGCTGGTATTTTCACAGCTCGCAGATTCCCCTAGGGGCATGGCGAGGTTCAACCTGATTCTGCATATGACGTCACTCCGCTGGCCTCCCCCAGCAGCCCTCGAACGTGGCGACGATTTCTCAGTGCGCAGCCCCCCAGGGCTAGCGAGGTCTAATATGAATATGCGTTTGATGTCACTCCGTTGCCCCCATTCAGCAGCCCTCGAAAGTGCCAACGGTTTCGCAGATCGCAGCTCCGTCCCCCCTGAATGGCCAGGTCTAATCTGAATCTGCGTTTGAAACCACTCCTGCCTGAATCTGCGGATGACGTCACTCCGCTAGCCCCCCCAGCAGCCCTTTGAACATGCCGATCGTTTCGCAGTTCGCAGCCACCCAGGGATGGCGAGGTTCAATCTGAATCTGCGTATGACGTCAGTCCGATGGCCCCCCAGCAGCCCTCCAACATGCCGGCGGTTTCGCAGTTCGCGGCCCCACAAGTTGCCATTGAGGGACAGGCGCACCGATTTGGACTGAGAATCACAACATCACAACATCGTGCACGAAAGCCCCCAGTACGCCAATCAGTCCCATACTGCCAGCCACCTCTCGAGGCCAACACAAAGAAAACGTACGTGACGCGGCCCGTCAAGAAAAAAACGCTTTACGAAGCGGAGCGACAGTGGCATTGCTAGATCCACGAGGTCCCTCAGAAGGCTCACCTTCGCAAGGGAAGTACACCCTACGGATCTGACCATGATCAGGTTCTCGAGGGCGAGCCATCATAGAGAAACCGTTCCCGACCATGCCAAAAATGCGCAACACCACCAGGAAGATGTACGCGAACAGGCCCACGATGCCCACCATCATCAAGAATGTGCTCACGACAAGACCACGACGCGGGCCATCACCCAGACGACGTACACAACCAGGCACACGATGCTCACTTTGCCCAGGAAGGAAATGCACGCGAGTTGCACGAGATTATTCGATCTTGTTCGTCATCTGGCCAGAACTGCCCTGGATACGTAAGAGAAGGGTTTCATCGGGGAGGGGTTCTGCACGAACTGCTTTTCTAGAGAGGCCCTTGGGATAATACCACGAACAGCATCATCAGGGGTAACACCATGGAGAGGCACAGGGCGAACAGCAACACGATGCGAAGAGCAATTGGGAACGGCTCCACCAGGGAGAGGCGCGGAAGGACTAGGTTCAGCAGGAGACGCCTGATGGCCGAAAGCTTCCTCGGATAGGGGCTCGACACGAAAAGCCTCCCCAGCGATATGCGATCAACATTCCCAGAAAGAACGCACCCCGAACACCATCACATGATAGAGGCTCATGCCGGTCACCTTCAGCTCAGAGAACTGGGAAGCCAAGGGCGGAAAGGGAGGATATCACCCGCCCTAGCCGTCTTAAGTGCCGCCGCTGCCGTAGCCTCTGGGCCTGCAACTCCAGGACTCTGCGAGGTATAAGGGCGCGCCGAAAGGCAGCGCGATGCGGACGGTGGCGGGGAGGGCCTCCGCTTTCAGGATCGCCATCACCAGCACAACAACCAAAAGATGTCCACCATCATGTTAGCCCGGGCAAGACCACGACAGGTACGTTCATGGTGTCCGAAGCGCGAGATCATGCGAAATTCGTCCGATGACCGAAAGCGCCCGTGATCAACGACAGCGGCGTCCTGTAGCGAGCTGAGCGTTCTCCGAACGAGAGCCTTCGTGCAAGCATTGGGCATAACGAAATCCCAATCGGGCAGACGGACGAAGTGGACCGTCACGCGGCCGCAGCGCGAATTGGTGCGGGCGCGACAGCGTCGCCCTGGTGCCACTCGCAAGGAGAACCACCGCGGTCGGGCAGCACTCCAGCGAGGCGAAGCGGGGCGAGGCCGGGAAGCGCCTGGGCGCCCTGTGGCCCCTGACCCCGCGAAGTGCTTGAGCCATGACAGCTCTGAAGATGATGATGATGATGATGATGATGATGATGATGATGATGACGACGACGACGACGACGACGACGACGACGACGACGACGACGATGACGATGACGATGACGATGATGATGATGCCCGTACCAGCTGCGGGCAGCCCGGAGGTTTACTGAACCCCCGACGCGCGGCTGCCTTCCCAGGGCGGTCCGTCAGGGCGTGGGGTGCTTGATGCTCACGTGCGCGCAGAGCTTCTTAGAGATGTCCGTGCTTCAACTTGCGATGGGTCTCGATGGCTGTGAAGACCGGGTGGAGGTCTTCAGGCATCTCGACATGTAGGCTAGCGCAATGGCGCCTCCTGGCGGGCGGGAGCGCGCTAAGCGTGGCGTACACAGTGGACCACAAAGGTCAGCAGTCGGCGCAATGTGCGCAATCGCCCGTCGCTGCGCAGCCAAGCGCGCATCAGTGAACAACTCCCTCATGCATCCTCGCGCTGGTCGTCCACCCACCCATCCAAGTTTTTTGGGGGGCGAGGGCGAGATACGACTAGGAGTCTTCCTCATCGTGGCAATGGCGGAGTCGAAGTCCGAGTCGCTGATGTCACTGAGTCTGTTCGGGCCAGTGGTGGTGCAGATGGGCCTGGAGCATGTACGCTCTCATCTGCACACCCTGCTTCGACCCCAAACCCTGGCGATCTCGTTGGCGGCGGCTGCCATAGGTCTTTGGATACGGGGGCAAATGCTGCTTGGAAACAACATGCTCCTCGCTCCCCCTCGCTCCTCCTTCCTCATACCTCCTGTCGCCTCCTTCCCTCCTCCTCCACAACCCCCTCTTCCCCATCACCCCCCCTCCCCAATCTCCATCCTTCTTCCTCCCCTTCCGTCTCCATTACTCCTCCTTCCTACTCCTCCCTCCCTCTTTTTGCTTCCTCCTCATCCTCCCTCCTCCACCGTCTTGAATAGCATGCCGCTTAGGCTTCGGAGGTGGGCCGATGCCATCCCTACGTTCCCTCGGCTAACGCAGACGTTCGTAGCGAGGGGTGTCCGCGTACCTCAAATCTCTGACCTTCGTACCCGAGGGCCCCAATTGCCACCACCCAGTGTTTGCCTCCCTCCTCCCTCCTCTCCGTGCCTCGCCTCCTCCGACTCCCCCCTTCCATCCCTCCGTGCCCTCCCTGGCGGCGCCCTGCGCTGCTTCTCGTCAACCCCTGTGATGCTGGAACGCCGCCGCGTCCTCCCCGGGCCGCCCTCCTGGCGCGCAGCGCCGCCGCCCCCCCCCCTCCGCAGTGCCACGGGGGAGTCACAGGTTTATCGTCATCATCATCATCATCATCATCATCATCATCATCATCATCATCATCATCATCATCACCATCATCATCATCATCATCATCATCACCATCCTCATCATCATCATCATCATCATCAGCATCATCATCATCATCTTCATCAAATCACCATCATCATCATCATCACCACCACCAGCATCATCAGCATCATCATCATCAGCAGCATCATCCTCAGTATCATCATCAGCATCATCATCAAATTTAGCATCATCACCATCATCAACATGACATCGTAATCATCATCAGCATCGGCATCAACATCATGATCAACCTCATCATCATCATCATCATCATCATCATCATCATCATCATCATCATCATCATCATCATCGGCTACATCACCATCAACCTCACCATTACCGTTGGCAGCATCCTCCTCATCATCATTAGCCTCATCATCATCGTCAGCAGCAACATCAGCATCACCATCACCATCATCAGCTTCATCACCAACATCACCATACACATTATCATCATCAGCATTACCGTTAACAGCAACAGCATCGTCCTATTCATAAACCATCAGCGTAAACAACACCACACGCATCAGCATCAACCATCAACATCATCATGAACAGAATCAGCATCAGCCGAAAAACCACTATCATAACGATCCGCAGCATCAGCATAATCATCAACACCGTCAGCATCAACAACATCATCATCGTGGTCATCAGCACCAGCCTCATGCTTATCCTCCTCATCCTCCTCATCGTCAGCATCACCATCATCAACATCGTCAGCATTACAAGCTATATCATCGTCATCACTTTCATCAGCATTATCTTCATAACCATCAGCAGTGTCAGTCCTATCATCATCATCCTACTCCTCCTCCTCCTCCTCATCATCAACATCATCATCATCATCACCATCATCATCATGATCATCAACATCAACATCGTCATCGCCGTGCCGTCATCGACATTATCGTCATCCGCAGCAGCACCAACAACAGCATCATCTTCACCAAAATCATAATCTGAGAGGAAAACGAACCTACATCTCGTTTGCCCACCATCGCTTTCTAACGGCAACAACATGACAATTACCGCACTGCCCGTGGGGTGCCCCGCAACGGCCAGACTGCTTGACGAGGCGGCGCGTGGTATAATTCGAATTTGCCTGAAAGCGACAGGACAGGACAGGCGCCGATGTGCGCCCCAGGGGGCGGCCCTCTAAGAGCTCGGCGGGGGCGCCGGAGCGCCGAAACTCAGATGTCGTAGCACATTGTTACTTCACGATCACGAGTGTGTACTATTGGCCCCACTAATACAATCAGTCCCTGAAAGCGACAGAGGGGTAGGAATTCACTCTCTGAACCTCGGAGGGGACACGTCACCTCCTCGACGACAAGGAGCCCCTGGACCCACCCGTAACCCCGCAGGACTCCCAGAAGACCGCCGAGGGCGTCCAAGACCTCACTGATCCTCGATCCTCCCTCGTCCTCGATCCCCGATCTCCAGGAGGACCTGGCGATCCTTGCGACCCCTCGGAGGGAGGGGGAGGTGAGCCCAGGCGCGGCGAAGATGAGACGCTTCCTAGATGGGGTCCGAGTAGATGGGATCGGAGGATCGTGCCGCATCCCCGATGCATCGCCGATGCATTGGCGATGCAACGGCAGCACCGGTGAAACATCGGCGACGTCGGAGTGGACAAAATCGGGCTCCTCATCGAGCCGCATCGCCGATGCATTGGCGATGCGGCGCGATCCTCTGACCCCGTCCACTCGGACCCCATCTAGGAGGCCTAGAAAAGAGGAGGCTGGGGTCCCACACCTCCCAGCGCGCATCGGGGATCTTCTGACCCGGGTCAATCCAGACCCGGGTCAGCAGGAAACCAAAAACTGCAATGCAGGAAAAAAAACTGCAACGCAGGTCTTCGCAAACCCGGGTCAGCCAATATGTGCGGCCGCCTCGCGGCCACGAGCGGCTCCCAAACCCGGGTCAGCCAGAGGGGGTCTTCGCAGGATCCTGCAGGATCCGGCGCCCTGGCTGACCCCCGTCTGCACTGACCCCCGTCTCGAGGCTCCCGAGCGCAAAACAACAGCTTCCCACCGGTTTCGGCCTCCCGAGGGGCCCTCACCGGGCACATGGGGCCATCCAGCAGAAGCGGCTCGGGAGCCGAGGCCAGCCCCCGGGGAAGGGTCGGGACGTCCGGGGGGCCCGCACTGAAGAGAACAGAACATCCGCATCTCTCCAGTGAGAAGGGGGGAACGCTTAGGAGTCAACTATCGGGGAGACGTAAGACCCGGGTACGGGGGACTCGGAAATTCCCGACGAGGTCGTCAAAAAAATGACGAGGCCGAGCCTGCATTTTGACGAGGCCTCCCGCTGCAGACATCCCACGAAACTCCTCCTCGTCAAAATCCGAGGCGCGGTCGTCAAAAAACGATGGCGAACCCGAGTCCTGGCAAACCCGGGTCTTACGCTCCCCCGAAACTACTGGGAGGTCTTCGTCGGAAGGATCGGGGAGAATCAGGCCTCGTTGCGTGGCTGCTACGCCACATCAGTCGCGGACTCAGCGGGGTTCAGCGGGAATCAGCAGGATTGAGCAGCACTGAGCGGGATTTAGCCGGATCGAGCCGATGTTCGGACCAGGCAAAAAGTCAGAATCGGACGTCCCTTCCCCGGGCATCGTTCGGCTGCGTGCGTGTCTGATTTTTTGTTGCTGCTCGAGCCAGAACGCTCCTCGGTGGTCCTCGCCGAGAAGAAAAGCACCGTCCGAGCGATGTCAAGGGGAGTATCGTTGAACCGATCCCCATCCAGGCGGTGTGGCCTGGGCCCCACTGGCCGATGTACACCCCCTAGATGGAGATATGGGCCGTCCCCTTCGGGTTTCGAGGGGTGTATCCCCAACTGGGGTGGTAATCTGGTGGGGGTCTCGAAGGGGATGAGGCTGGGCGATACCGAGGGATGGGGATTGGTTAAGGCAGGTTCGTGTCGTGCCGACTTCGGCGTTGGTTCCTGACACAGCGCGGATCGTTCAAAATTGAACGATCCGCCGTTTCCGGAACATCAGATCGTTCATCATCGACCGATTCTGGGTCGCCGGCGGCGTTCAACGTTGAATGCGGGCGGCGGGGTCGCCGCTGGTCGACACGACGCAAACCTGTCGTAAACAATACCGCGGGATATAGGCCGTTCCAGTCGGGTTTCGAGGGGTGTATCCCCAACTGGGGTGGTAATCTGGTGGGGGTCTCCCGACTTCGGCGTTGGTTTCTGACACCGAGGGGATCGTTCAAAGTTGAACGATCGGCCGATTCCGAAACATCAGATCGTTCATCATCGACCGATTCTGGGTCGCCGGCGGCGTTCAACGTTGAATGCGGGCGGCGGGGTCGCCGCTGGTCGACACGACGCAAACCTGCCGTGAACGATGCCGAGGGATGAGGGTTTCGAGGGGTGTATCCCCAACTGGGGTGGTAATTTGGTGGGGGTCTCGAAGGGGATGAGCATGGAGATGGGGGGGGTGGTTAAACGATACCGAGGGATGGGGGTTGGTGAAACGATACCGAGGGAGGAGGACGGGGACGAGGCCTGGGACAAGTCGGGGCCGCCGCCCCGTGGCTGGGCCTGGCCTCCTGGAGGCGGGCGGCGGGCCTCGCGGGGCTCGGGGAGCAAGAGGCCGGCCCCCCCCCGGAAGGTGTCGGGAGGCCCAGCGGCCCACGCATCAGCAGCCATCGGGGCACGAGGTGAGGGGGGGGGGGGGGAGGGGGGGGAGGGGGGGCGAGGGGGGGGGGGGCGAGGGAGGGGGAGGGGGGCACGAGGTAAGGGGGGGGGGGGGGGGCGAGGGAGGGGGAGGGGGGGGGAGCGAAGGGGGGGGGGGGGGCGAGGGAGGGGGGGGGGGAGAAAGGCGCCCTGCTCGGGCCCTAGCAAAGGCCCCCTTCTGGGTCCGAAAAAGGGCTCCCTTGGGGGGCCCTTGAAGAGCCTCGCTTCGGCAGCCATCGCTGCCCCCCCAAAATTGATCGTCCCTCCAGCGCGAGTCCTCCGAAAAAGTCGAGGCGCCTGACTTCTGGGGAGGGCTCCGGAGACGGGCAGGGGAGAGAAGTGCTGCTTTGCTTGAGGCCTGTTTTGCCAACTCTGGCCCAGGCGGTACGGGACGTACCCCGCTGCCTACCCTACTAGCGCCACCGTTGCTAGTCGACCAACCAATTGCAATACCCTTCCTTGTGTCGCTTGATCTGAGTAGCCTATCACGCCGACGTTTACGGTCGGGAGCGTTTGCTTAGCGTGCCGCGGCGGTGGCCCTGGCGACACGCTGTGCCCTGCAGGCGGATAGCGTGGCGCTCCGCTCCGCCGGGCGGGAGGCCCGGAAAGGCTCGGGACGTGGACGCTGGGGGACCGGGAAGTGGCTAGCGCGACGCGCCGAAGCGTGGTGGGCCAGAACCGGCGCGGCGGATCAGCACGCAATCCAAAAAATCCCGACCGCAGGTAAGCTCACTCAGCGCGGGGATACAACGGCCACCAAGCAACCCCTTTGCGATCCAAGTGGGGCCCCGGGACCGCGACCTTTCAACGGCCCAGTTCAAGCCGAGCACCGCGCTGCGGGGCCAGGAGCCGAGGTAGCTCCTGGGGGCCCGGAAGGGGAGCGCGGCATGTCTGCAGAGGCCTTCCGGATGGGGTCGATGCGCACGCTCATGCCCAAGACATCTGGGCTGAGCTGGAATAAGGGGGGAGGAAGGGAGGAGAGAGTGGGAGGTGGGAAGAGGGCGGAGGGTTGGGGTGGGGGGGGATGGTGAAGGAAAAAGGGGGGGATGAGGGCAGAACGCAGCCCTCGGAAGGGGAGCAGATGGGGTCGAAGGATGGCGCCGCATCGCAGATGCATCGGGCGATGCGCTGGCGGCGTCGGCGGTGCATCGGCGGCGACGCCAGCGCGAGAAGATCGGGCTCCACACCGAGCCGCACCGCCGATGCCTCGGCGGCCCTGGCGCGGCCCTCCGACCGAACTCGGCGAGAGGGGCTGGCCATCGCTCGGACGTCCATTCCCTGTGCTTTTATCGGTTTCGTGCGTGGCTTCTTCGCCAAATGATCAAGGATGCTCCTCGATGGTCCTCGCCGAAGGAAAAATGCACACGTCCGAGCGATGCCAAGGGGGAGGCGCCAGGCGAGCCTCCAGGGGGTCGACCGACTGGAAGTAGAGCAGGTCGAGGCCCCGCATCTTGCGGGGGGCACACGACGTCTGGCAGTCGGTGTCCTTGGCGCGGGGGACGTGCGGGCCCCAAAAATATACACCACCACCACCACCACCACCACCACCACCACCACCACCACCACCACCACCACCACCACCACCACCACCTCAATTCCACCTCCCTCCTCCGCCCTCCATTCCACCTCGATTCCACCTCCCTCCTCCGGCCTCCTGTTCCCCTCCTCCTTCCTCAGAGAGAGGGAGGGGGGGAGGAGGTGGTGGCCCCCTCCAGTCCACCTCCCTCCTCCGCCCTCTTGTTCCCCTTCGCCTTCCCGGGAGGGGTGAGGGGGCGAGAGAGGCGGTGGCCATTCCACCTCCCTCCTCCGCCCTCCTGTTCCCCTTCGCCTTCCTGGGAGAGGGAGGGGGTGACGGAGGTGGAGGCCCCGCAGGGCGGCGGCGGGCACCTGGGCGGGGAGGTGTGCCTGCCGACCACCTGGGTGGGGAACCGATGCCGCCGATGCCCACAGGACCCCAGGGCATGCGTGTGGCCAAGCCCAGGCGTCCGACGATGTGATCACTCGATTGCTTCACTCCGCGGCCCCAGGGGTCCCAACCCCTCCACAGAGGGGGCAGGCTTCCGTCCCGGGCGCATTTCTTGCTGCCCCGGAGCCCCACAACAGGCCCCCGAGGCCAAAAATCGAGACGCAAGACGCACCCCGGCAGGACAGGTCCATGGGAGGGGGGGGGGGATCTGGATCGAACGGAAATTACGCTGGGTGCGGCCGTGATGCCGCCCCCGCGTCCACTCCCCTAGAACCGCAGCCCGGGCTGGCCTCACCAGCGCGCTCTTCGAAACCCGTTCACCTGTGAGCGCCCTCCCCCGCCTCCTCTCTCTCTCTCTCTCTCTCTCGCTCCGCGGCCGCCCTGCCTTCCCGCGCGCCCCGCGCCTGCACCCGGACAATCAGTTAGCCGAGCGTCCCGACAAACCTGCGTGCGCCTGTGCGGGTTGCCTCTGCCGTGCTGCGACGGGGAAAAAGGGGGCCAAGCTCGGTGGCAACTGACTGGAGCCTTATGTGCCATCTTGCTGGTGTTGCGAATCAGCACCGTCCGACGCTAGTCAACGCAAAATCGAAGCTAATCGGCGCTGAATCGACGATATCCGACGCTAAATCGGCGACGACGTGCTGCGACGACGACCTCTGCCTTGCTGCGACGAGAAAAGCCCGTCATCTTCGGCGTCTGGAGAAGCCGTTTCGGATCCCAGGGGGCGTCGACGACAAAAACGCCTCAGGACGAGAAAACGGGTCCAGGGAGGGGAGCCTCGAGACCTCTGGCGACTCGACATCTTCGAATCTCTGGGCCCCAACCCTCTCGACCCCTTCCTGAGGACATGCTCTTTTCATCCCGAGTCGTTTTGACATGGCGCCGCGGCCGTTTCAGAGCGTCCTGGACAGTCTGAAAGATGTCCAGAACGCTCTGGAACGGATGTATCTCGATTCTGGGCCGATCTGAACTCTCTCGACCCCTTCCCAATGATCTGCCCTTCATCCCGAGTCGGTCCTTGACGGTCTAGGGGCAAAACGACGGCCTACCTCCAAAGGCCAAAGGAGGAACATGTAGGGACGCCCCAGCCTGGGACGAGAGGTCCATGGGCTGGCGACTCGGAAACGATCAAGTCGCCAGAGGCAGTGCAGGCCGAGCCCCCGCGGATTCTTAGGATTCGAAATGTAGTCTCACCAGCATCATCGCGCCATCGTTGACGCCGATGACGGTTCTAAACATCGCCGTCATCGGTGCCATCAACACGATCACCATCGTCATCATCATCAGCATCGTCATCATCAGACTCGACATCATCAACGACATCAACAACAACATCAACAACAAAACATTCGACACCATCAAAATCATGATGGTCCGAATCGTATTCAGGTTCGCTTTCATATTCTCATTCGAATTCCGATCCATAACCATATCCATAGTCATAACAATAGTTGAAACCAGGTCCATGCATACTACTCATAGTCATGCTCATGAACATGTTATCATCCTATTCATTACCGTACTCATCGCGCCGAGACTATCATTCTTACGATCCGGATCGCTAAAGCGGCGATTACTGCATTCGCCCATTCCCAGCTGGACCACGCCATAAACATCGAAAACAAAGGTCTGAAACGGCTCCCAGATGTTTCCAAATTCAACATTGCTGGCCATTCCGTTACACTGCATTCTGAATGCTCATCGACGTCAATTCTCCCCCCACTGTTCGAATTGGCATCGGCTCCGGATGGGCTGCTTGGGATACGTGACGCGGACATAATTGCATTTGCCCATCCTACTTTAGGGGGTGAGCGGGATGGCGAACGCATCTTCAGTACGTCACACAGGACCTGGTATCCCAGGGTCACAACCACATGTTAACTTCGGTTGGCGCGGTCGTTCAGGGCAACGATGCCTCGTAAATTACCTTTGCTCCACGCCCTTAGAGCGCGAATCCTTGGTACCACGTTCTGACATAAGCTCACATGGCTTCTTCATGAGAGCTCGCAAATTTCCAAAAACGTACTGCTCCAGGAGCGCCCTGAGGGGACTCCGTGAGGCTGCAGCAGGTTCTGAAACAACAGCAAACAGGCCAGAAGACACTGGCCTGCAAAGGCCAGAATTAGACCCCGCGGGGCCCCAACGGATCAAAGGGGGCTCACTGGAAAAGGGGAGGCCCTTAGGCGGCCAGGAAGAAGAGGCATACAGCGAGCAGGATGAGGATGACGGAAACTGGCCCCGCAATCGCAAGTCCAAGAACAAATCAACGCTGAAAGAAACACATGTCGCCGGAGACAGCCGCCCCCAGGCGCTCCTTGCCCGAGGCCTCGAACTCCCTGCATCGCCTGAGGAGCGCGCTGGTGCCGTGCCAGCAGCTGGCCTCGGAGCGAACGGGGGCGCTCGTCGTCGTCGTCGCCGTCGTCGTCGTCGTCGTCGTCGTCGTCGTCGTCGTGGTCGTTGCCTTGGTCGTCGTCGTGGTCGTGCTCATGGTGGCCTTGGTCGTGGTCGTGGTCTTGATCGTGGTTGTGGTCGTGGTCATGGTCGTTGACGTCGTGGTCGTCGCGGGCGTCCCCGTCGTCGTCTCAGTCGCCGCCGCCGTCCTCCTAATCCCGGTCCTCCTCCTCCTCCCTCTCCTCCTTCCTCTCCTCCTCCTTCCTCTCCTCCTCCTCCTCCTCCTCCTCCTCCTCCTCCTCCTCCTCCCTCTCCCTCTCCTGTTCCTGTTCCTCCTCCTCCTCCTCCTCCTCCTCCTCCTCCTACTCCTCTCTCCTCCTCTCCCTCCTCCTCCTCCTCCTCCTCCTCCTCCTCCTCTAATTCTTCCTCCGCCTCTTCTTCCTCCTCCTCCTCCCTCTCCTCCTCCCTTTCCTCCTCCTCCCTCTCCTCCTCCTCCTCCTCCTCCTCCTTCTCGCCTCAAGGGGAGTTTCGGCTCAAGCATTGCGAGCATAGGGCCTGGGGCGCCGGGCCTCCCCAGCGAGCTCTCACTCGCACCAGCCCGGGCCGGGAGCATCGCGCCCTCCGACGGGGCGTGGCATCGGCGCGCGCGCCGGCAGCGGGCAGGCGCGAGCACTCTGAGCGCGCGCGCCGGCAGCTGCACGCGAGGCGCGGCGGCGCGAGCGGCTCGGGCGGGCAGCGCGGCTTCTTGCCGAGCATCACGGAGCAGCAGCGGGCAGCATGGCGCGCAAAGGCCCGGATGGCGCCAGGCTGGACGGGCTCTGCGCGGGAGGGTGCGACCGCCCGAGAGGGCGATGCGGCGAGCGCAATGTGGAGCCCACCACGAAGGCGCCGCTGGGACAGCCCAAGGGCAGTAACAAGGACAAGGACAAGGACAAGGAACGCATGAAGGCCCTGGAAGAGCAGGTGCGCGACCTCAAGGCTGGGCAGCTGAGCATGGAGGTGGACGCGGGCGGCGCCAGTGGGGGGGGGCAGCAGGCCATCGCCAAGCTGGAGGCGGCCATCAAGGCCCTCGACGGCATCGAGGACGACGCCGGCATCGCCGCCCTGCGCACGGCCAGACAAGAACAGCTCAAGGCGCTGCGCGCGAAACCCCCGGCGGACAAGCCCGCCCACGTCCAGCTCAAGCAGCGGGAGGAGAAGCTCCAGAAGGCCAAGAAGCTGGAGGAGCGCCTCGAGGGGACGGAGATCCCCGGCCTCGAGCAGCAGCTGGCGGCCAAGCGCGAGGAGCTGCAGAGGGCGAACCACGCCGTCCAGGCGTGCGAGGCACAGGCCAGTGCGGTGGCCGCGCAGCTCGCGCAAGCCCCGCCGCGCGGACCGGCCTCGGCCCGCGAGCTGCACGGGATGCTCCAGCTGTTTGCCGAGGGCCTGCAGCAGGTCGCCACCGCGCGGGGCGACACCGAAATGCAGCGGGTCGTGGATAGCCTGGCGGCCGTTGGCGACCGCCTCAGGGCCACCCAAACCGCCGATGAGGAGGCTGCCACGGCGGTGGAGCGAGGAGGAGGAGGAGGAGGAGGAGGAGGAGGAGGAGGAGGAGGAGTCCACTTGCACGTGACCAGGAGCAGCATCCAAGCTCCTGGGAAGCCGAATGGTGCTTCCCGCCAGGTACAGCATTGGGCTGGGAGGCGCTGTACCCACGGTCCCTGCGTTTTGCCAGCAGGTCGTCGGTGGAGAGATTAGCCAGCATTTTGTCGACTGGGGAAAAGACACCCCGTTGCGACAGCCTCTTCACGGTCATCATTGTCATTCCTTCCAAAGCCATCGGGAGGAGTTCGGCCCATCGGTCTCCTAAGCTCGGTCGCGCGCATTTGAAGTCGGGCTCGCCAACGTGAAGTTCGAAGGTGGGAGAGACGGGTGGACAATTCGGCTTTCTGTGGCAAGAGTGCCTCGAATTTGGCGGAGAGAGCCAGCTATATTCACGATATGTTGGTGTGCCACGCTCGCCGTAAAATTATCGCCTCGATCTCGGTCTTTTTCGATACCGCGGAAGTATAAGAGAAATTCTCACGAAGAACTGCGACGCACTGGGGCCTACTACGGCTTCAACATGGGGCTCCTCAAGGCTCTCTGCACCCTCTACAGGTCTCCTCGGCATGCCAAGTGGGGGGAAGTACTAAAGAGCAGATTACTAGCTGTTATTGCTGGCTGTTCGTGTGCTACTGGGGTCTCCAAGCTCATGGTGATGTCAGTCTTGGGCTGTCTAGTTCGGGAGGTCCCGCCCTGCAGGACCATCCACGTGATCGATGACTTGACTGGCCGCATCATCGGGGGCCCTGAAACGGTGATCTCGTCTGCGGAGAAAGTTTGCGCCCTGGTCCAGAAGGGCCTGCAGGAGGTGAAGTTGCCGCCTTCCTGGGACAAGAGTTTTTGGATGTGCTCCGACTCGAGCCTCATTCCTAAGGTCCTGGAATCCGACGGGTTCTGCTTGGGCAAGGACACGTGCGTGCTGGCCCACAGGGACCTCGGAGGGGACTTTAACAACTGCCAAAGGCGACGTCTTGGGACTCAGCTCAGCAGGTCCAAGGAGGTTAAGAAGATGGGGGCCCGTCTTGTCATGTTCGGCTCAAGCTCCGTCGTGTCCAGGGTCTTACATGTGGCGCCCCTCGCCAAGACCATCTGGGGCACTGCCGACCTTGGCATTTCCGATACTTCATTGAGACATCTCCGTGCATTGGCCGCCAAGTCTGTTGCAGGAGTGCCTCGGGGGGCCAGCAGTGGTTTCGTATTCCTGGGGCATCCATCGGCGTGGCGCAAAGACCCCCTGGTGGTTGCGGCATCTCTTTGCATCAACGAGTTCGTGCACGGCTCCTGGGACAAGTCGGTGACCAGGGAGGTGCTGAAGAGCGGCTTTGAGGACGCCCAGAGGGTGCTGCAGCTGGCCAGGCCCTGGGCTGCGGCCAAGCAACCGTTGGCAGCGCTCGCTCTGACACTGCGCAGGCCGGGCTGGGCGATAGAGTTGAACGAAGGAGCGATCCACGACGACATGGGCAGAGTATGGTCCTTGGCCAAGTTCTCGCCAGCCTTCTTCGGCCACCTCAACAAGGCGGGGGCTCGCAGAGCTGTTGAGTGGGACGAGCATGCTCGCCGAACGTCTTTGAAGTTCTAGAGCGGGCCAGTTTTTGTTGGGCCCCACTGTACGAGTTATCATGCCAGAAGAATGGTCCAGGTTTGCACGAGCATCATAACAGTTGCCTGAAGGCGATGGTTACCAACGTTTATTTGAATCAAGAACGCAATGAGTTCCATGCGAAGGAAGTCTGAAATGTGTGTCAGCTCTGCCAAGGGGCCGGAAGTACTACTTTCCCCCGTCGTTTCGAGTGCCCAGCTCACGATGTTTGGCGGCGGGACGATTTGGACGACTGGGTTCGGAAGGCTTTGACCAGGGTATCGACGCTCTCGATTGAAGACCAGGGATTTTTTGTCGTGGGATAATTCCAGATCCAGGTCGCATCATCGGCAGACGAGTCAGGCTCGCCGACGACCCGTACACGCAGAGAATCAATTGGCCTCGAGAAGGTATTATCTTGCAACAGGGCCAACATGTGTACACTGATGGTGCAGGTTTCGAGATTGTGTGGCCGTCTTTGAGGGTGGCAGGTTGGTCTGTTGTCGTCGGCGACTGCAACGGCGAGGTGGTCTCAGCTCTGCTCATGGTTGTGCCCTTCACCGAAAGGCCAGACCAAACCGCCAGAGACGGAGAAGACTATGCGATTCTCATGCTTTCGAGAAATGCCACTGCGTGGGCGCCAGTGGACACTTGTCCTCAATATTGAAATAGAACTGCGGATGCTTGAACTATACATCCAGCTATGGATGGATTCAGCAAGAGTCCTTCTGTGGATGACTTCCCCTGGAATCCGTATGCGGGGCCTCAAGACACATGCATGCCAACGCACTTCCAAGGCAATGCTTGTTCTGAGCCAGCGCGTTGCCAGCGCCAGGCCCATTCAATGCCAAGGGGCACCAATGAACGGTCCACATCGATTGTTCGGGCACTACTGGGTGCGCCAGTCTGCTGGCTTCCTCGGCCTCGTCTTGGGCTTCTGAGCACAGAGCGCACTGGTGGTGCGAAATCGGGGACCGACTCCGAGGTGTCAAGCTCTAGACGGTGGAGCCCCACATGCCACACTATTCGGTCCGAGACGGCCAAACTTCCCATCGAGACTGGAGAGGTAAGCAAGAGGCTGGTCGGCTGGCGAAAGCAGGCGCACAGCCCAATCTTGCGGCAGAGGGGGATCTACTTCTGCTCAGCGGGCTTCACGAGATCGCCGCACTGTTTGCAGAGTACGGTGTGCTCCAGCAAGCTTCGCTTTCCCACGCCGGCGTCAGGGACCACGTGGGCTTCGAGCGGACGAGAGAAGTCGAGCTCGCTCCAATTCCTGGCCCTCCTATTCCAGCTTGTCGTGACGGGGATCCCCTTGTTCCTCGGGGTGTCGTGGAGCCCCGGGAGTCCGACCCCGACGAGTTCGTTCGACTGTCATGGGGATGGAAAGGGCACCTCCTCGGGAAGGCCATGGTGCTCGAGGACGGGGTCGAGGTGGACCCCTATGAGCTGTTGCACTTCGCGTGGAAAACAAGTACCCCCAAAATGCCCAAACATAGCCAAAAGTTGTCAAAAACAATCCCCATGTTTTTTATGTTTGAGTATGACTCCTGTAGAGAGACAGGCCCGACTTAAAATCTAGAGATGCAAATTGAAGGCCCGTTGCAGCCCCCGCACCGTCACTGGAGGCCGCAATCTATCCAGGATCGGGTGTGGCCTTCACCCGCTGGCGTCGTCGGGCTGTGTGGTCCAGGAAGCGGGCGGTCTGAATCAGCTGGAGATCTTCCAGTGGTTGCCCGTCCTCGAGGACTCGGAGGTCGGCTGGAGTGACGGCCAGGCTTCCGCGTCGCGCCTGTCAATTTCGAAGTTTCGGTTGAGGTTCTCGGCCC